GGGTCAAGGCTCGAGAATTCCGAATAGGCGATCTGGTCCTCAGAAGGGTAACGGCCAATACCCGCGATCCAACAGAGGGAAAAATGGGACCTAACTGGGAAGGGCCTTACAAAGTAATATCAATCGGGGGCGCCGGGTCGTACAGATTAGAAGACATGGATGGAAAACTTGTAATACGACCATGGAATGTTATGAATCTAAAGAAGTATTACTTTTGAAGTATTCTCTCCCTCAAATGCTTGCCAACGACAAAGATGAAGGGCAAGGCCCTGGGACAGAGTTCAAGGACTCCTGCCCCCGAAGCAAACACAGGAGCAAGCCTCCTGCAAGGGTAAGGCCCTAGGGACAGAGTTCAAGGACTCTTGTCCCCGAAGCAAACACAGGAGCAAGCCTCCTGCAAGGGTAAGGCCTTGGGGACAGAGTTCAATGACTCCTGTCCCCGAAGCAAACACAGGAGCAAGCCTCCTGCAAGGGTAAGGCCCTGGGGACAGAGTTCAAGGACTCCTATCCCCGAAGCAAATACAGGAGCAAGCCTCCAGGAAGGGCAAGGCCCTGGGGACAAAGTACAAGGACTCCAGTCCCCGAAGCAAACACGAGAGCAAGCCACTTGATGGGGCAAGCAGCCCCGAAGACAGTTCAAAAAAAAAGAAAAGAGCAAAACAATACTGTACATAGAAGAAGGAAAGAAATACTCGTCATTTATTTCAAGAAATAGGGGCTTTGTGTCCCCAAAGACTACAAAAGAAAAGCAAAAGAGATACAATCAAAAAGAAAAGGACTTTCATCCGGCTCCAGGCATTTTCATCTGGCTCCAGGCATCTCCAGAACTTCAGCCGAGGGCGAGTCAGCGATAAATGGTTGAGAAGCTTCTGGAGCAGGCAGGAGAGGTACTTCGGCAACAGGAATAGCTTGGGCAACTTGGGGATCAGGAGCATGGTCCGACGGAGCGTCCTCGGACAAGTCCACTATCACCGTCTCGGGGGGATCCGCCGAGATTTGCACCGGCGTTGGGACTTCATCCTCGGCAGCAACCTGTGCTTCTGCCTGTGTCATCTCTGTCGAGGGCACATACTTGTGCATTTGGAAGAGCGGGGAGTCTGATGGGACTCCAGCAGACTGAAGCGCCTCATCCCACCCTTTCTTGAAGAATTCTTTGTTGTTTTCCTCAAGAGCGAGGAGCACATCATCGGCAAACTCTTCCAGGAGTTGCTCCTCCGATTTTCTGTTCAGCTCCTCGGCTCTGATCCTGTCCAGCTCCTGGGTGAGAGCCAGACAGTTTTCCTCCGAGCCTACCGCCCTCTCCTCCGCAGCAGAAAGCCGCCGCGTCTGCTCGGTTATCCTCCCCTCAGCATCGGCAAGGGCAGCACTTAGCTTTTCAGCGCCAACCTTTGCCGACTCGGCGTCCTTGAGGAGTTGCTCGATTTGAGCAGCCTGCCCCGCCAAGGTAGAATCCCTGGCAGCCACATCCTCTATTGCTCGGGAGAGGGCCGCCTCTGCCTCCACCTTCTGATCTCGGGCCCGCTGGAGGTCCATCCTGGACCCATGGTACCGAGCAGCTATTACGGAGATCTGCTGGGTAGCCTGCAAAGGAAGGAAAAAAGTGTTTTATCACAAAAATGGAAAGCAAGAGAAAAGAAACCAAAGAAAAGGAACTTACCACCAGGGAGTTTTGGATGATGGAGCGGAACAACACGTTCGTTGAACGCCCCCTATGAGCCGCCATGTCAGCCTCGAAATGCAGTGTCTCACTCACTGCATGGGCGACATGAGGATCCAGCAAAATGGAATCGTCGACCCTGATCACTCGGTTCATGTGATCAGTGGCTCGGGGATTCCACTCCGCGGCTTCCACTGTCGGCGGAAGGGAAGGAGAGGCCTGCTGCTACTGTTGTTGCTGTTGTCGTTGCTGTTGCTGCTGCTGCTGTTGTGGAGGAGCAGGGGGTAACCCACAGCCTCTCCCGCTTTGCTGTTGAGCGGGAGGTGCCCTGGATCCTCGGCCGAGCCCATCATGCCGATGTTTGACCCTTCTCTCCTTCTCCACTTGAGGATCCCGGTCTCGCACCTGACCTCGACCGGGGACCCTTGCGGATGGGTTGGAACTGGTCCCCGCAGATGAAGTGCCGCCGGTCGTTCCTCGACCTCTCCCGGCTGCGAGGGCTTGCCTCTGCCTTAGGAACCCGAGGTCGATGCGAGGAGTGTTTGACATCGCGACCTCAAGCGCGTCCTCGGCGTCCAGAGATTGAAGAACTTGAAAGTCAGGCCACAAGTCTCCTCCCGAAGTCCCCACCTCGGCGTCCGAAGGAACAACGTCCTCTCTGACCCTGACCTCTTCAGCAACTCCCTCTACCTCTATTTCCGAAGCCCGATCCGGGTCTTCCTCCAAGTTTTCCTCAACCTCTAACCTCGCCGCCTGATCGAAGAGTTCAGACCACCGCGAAGGATCAAAAGGCTGAAGAAGCTGTGAAAATTTCTTATACCCGGGGGTATAGTTCAGCAGGATATGGGCAGCCCGGCCGAACCCGTCGTCACCAGTAAAGCTCCAAACCGTTACTAGGTCGGCGAAGTTCACCAGCGACCGAGGGGGAGGAGCTGTTTCCCGAGCAGGAATATCTGCACAAACAAAAAAGTTGTCATGAGCATAGGAAGTCTGGGGAAAGAAATGATAAACCCAAAGGAACCGACGTACTTGTCATTCTCCATTCCAGAGGGCATAACAAGTCATTATACTCGGGACCAACACCTCTCTGCCAAGATCCCTTGAAGATAAGGATATCGTCCTTGTACCCCTTGTCCGAGTCAGGAAGATGGGTTACAAGGTACATGGAGGGGTCCCTGGCTTTGAGGTAGAAGTGTTGGTGAGGCATGACTCTCAGGAGGGAATAGCAAAAAAGGAGATCGTTGAGCCCAATATTTACCCCGAGGCGCCTATTGAGCTCTAAGACCCCCATGATTATTCGGAAGATGTTAAGGCAACATTGCCCGGGGAAGAGGCGGAAGTGAGAAAGAAACTGAAGAAGCAAAGGGGGTAAGGGAAACCTAATTTCACCCTCTATTATGGCCTTAGTATAGAAGGGCATGGAATCCTCGGCCCCGAGGATAGAAGAGTGCAGTACCGGGTCATAATCCTCTACGTCTACGCTCGGGGGAATGTCGTACTTGGCCCTAAACCTATTGATCTGTTCATCGCCCTTTACCTTATACTTCCCCTATCCCGAAGAACCGACTTGAGGATTCTCGGGAGCAGGGCGACGACGAGGCATCTCTAAATAAAGTGAGAAAGAAGAGGGTATTGGTTCTTGGAAATTCCTGAGGAAGTTTCCCGAGGGTTAAAACGCTGTGTATCAACCAGATAACACCCCGGTCAATCGGAAAACAAAAAGCTAGGAGGAAGAAAAGAAAGGGGATTCTGAAACTCACCCGAATGTCAAAACGGAGTTTTTTTCTGGGAAACCTTAAAGCGACTCCCTCCAGAAAGTTCAGAATCAAACGGTGGGTCTGCTGGCTTTAAGATCTTAAGGAAGAATGGGCAGTAGACGATGGAAGAAGAAGCAAAACTCCGGCGAAGATTCAATAAGAAGCTCTCTTAAGGAAGTTCGAAATGGCAAAATGAGGAAAACGGAAGAGGAGCCCCCTTTATATAGAGGCGATTTTCATCATTGGGCGCGAAAAACGAAATGGCGCATTTAATGCGCATGACATCCCAAGCCGGGGAAAGCGGCTCGAGACAATTATGAAGTACGGGTGGTTGTTGGGAAACCTTTTGTCTCCTTACAACGCGTGTCCTCGGTGTCAGAAGATCGAAGGCTGGGGGGCAGTTGATGGGACTTTTCTGAAATACCCTATGATGAAGACACGTGTCCTCGGTTTTACTAAAACACTTGCTAAGATCAAGCACCATCGGCGCACAAGGTCCTCTCCCCCGAGGTACTCGTCATGTAGGATCATACATTCAGTGGCCTCGGTCTGATATGTACCTCGGTCGGCATACCTCCCTCGGTCCCCGAGATAAGTCTTTCCTCGGTGCCGAGAGGTACCCCCATCCTGGACGCTTCCTCTACTCCAGGATAAGCTATTGACGTACAGGTCTTTAGCCTAGGCTAGACTAGGCTATTCATCATGACCTCATCTTACACAAGTAATGTCAGAACGTACTGGAATACAGAGGTCACAGCCAATAGGGGATGGACGCGTGGCATATGATATCACATCAAAGACAGACAAACCGCATGCCGTTGCTGACACGCGACTTGGGAAAGCAAACAATTAATTGCATCATTCCCTTGATGAGACCGCATTCAATGCGGTAAGGCTCGAAAATGAAAGGCAATAAATGCTCCTATTGCAGAGCATTTATTGCATCCTCCCCGAGAGGAGCACATGTACCGTCGGCATCCCGACGATCCGACATTGATTGCTCTAGACCCCGAGCAGTTAATTAGAGAAGACATTCTTCATCAGAATCAATGCACACGCTACCTGAGTCTAATGATCACCTACTGACGACACTGACAGCAATCATGAGCTTTTAAGGTATAAATACTCCTTGTAAAAGGCAAAGCGGGTATGCAACAACAAACTCTCTACGACAACACATTTTTCTCAGTGTTTTCTCCTTCCTCTCTCTCACTCAAAGACTGACTAGACCGTCGGATGGGATACGCCGGAAAACACTCTGGCGCCCTTCTAACTTGTTCTTCTTTGTTCCAGGAACCCCTTTCAGCCTCACAGGATCGTTCTTCCTTTCCCAGGGTCTCCCGTTGCCGTTCCAGGTTACCACCGTACCTTACAGGCTGTCCCAAGCAGTGTGTTTGGTCACTCAACCGGCTCACTCGAGTTCACCAGGGGAGAGATCTGTTTCCGTTTTTTTTATATTGTACAGGATCTTGCACGCACAGTTTAAGATAGACCGTGAAAAAATAGATAATTTATTGGACAGTGTAAAACTAGAAGGATAATTAAAATGGTGTAAGTGTAATTTACAAGAGCACGATATTGATTGTTTAGCATGATTTGTAGGTAGAGCATCGCAGAGGACCAGCATTGGAGGTTAGAGCTGGAACCATGGATCCTTCAGCAACTGTAAATGATTGAGTGCGAGAGTAGAGGGGAGCAGAGCTTCCCCATCCAGATTGAACGAAGTATGCCCCATTCACAAATTTATCCTTTGCTGACCTCCACTTCCAACCTTTCCAACCACCTTTACCCTCTCTTTTTGTAACCTGTTATACATAGCTCGAGGTTAGAGTTTTGCTCAAGCTCAGTTAGGTTTCTAGATATAATATGTTTAACAACGGCTCCGGCTCGTTTTTGTACTACGAGCTTGAATTAGAGCTCAATCATTCCGCTCGCCCCTCAAGCGAATCGACAAAGACACACACCTAGGTGTCTCATCCATTTAGTTAAGATTGATATTTTCTCATTCTTTCAGCAGCACAGAAAATGTATTTATATATGACGAATAATACTCAGCTTAGTGCCTAGGTACACCGAGTTACAGACCTAGTCTTTCACATTATTTGCATAACGTGGTTATCGTCAGGTTCAAACCTACAACTTCAAGGTTATTGGGAGAATTTGTCCACTAAACCAGTGGCTACCTAATTTAGTATAAATTAATGAAGCTTGAAAGTACTATTGAGTCGTGGCAAATTATTTGGGCTCGGAGTACTAAGTCGAGTGAAATATTATTTGGGCTAGGATTAAATATTAAATGAGTACAATTCGGTTCATTTTGAGATTGAACGAGCCAAAATGTAGTTCAACTTGACCCTAGTGATTTGCAAGGTTAAACTACTCACCTGTTTGGCATCAGGTTTGTTGGGAGCTATGAAGTAGTTGCCTTCGCTGAAGATGGTTGGATTAGCAATGCCACCAATGGCATACATCTGCCACTCATTGTACCTATTGTTGGCAACATGGGCATAGCCAAACCTTACCTGTAGTGTCGTGAATTCCATTAGTATCACACCATAATTAATTGTGATTTCTGGAGACAAAACAGTAAATATCTTCCTCATCTTGGCATCCTTTGAATTAGACCAGTGTTGAACACCACTGTAACTCTCATAGTTTTATCTGCTTTATACTAGTCGTTGTGTCCAAATAACATCACCTACGTACAAAGTCAATTTGGTCAGAGGCTTTCACGGTTTTAAATAACAGTAAGGCCACTCTAACCATAACTTCAAGGTTGTGATTTTTTTTAATTCATTTTTTTCAAAATTTAAATGTATGCATACTAAGTACAAAATCATACAAATATAGATTAATTATTAGTAAATGATAATAAATTTTGTAGTGTTAAACATATCCTTTACAACTGAAAATAAATAAATAAGTAAAGAGGTTTGATTTGTAGTTATACACATTAAAGTAAGCGTATTATCTATTACAACATTTTACGACAGTCTAATATAATTATATCAATTGGTAACAAGGTTAGACCCCTGTAATCTCACTACTCGGCGGCCGTTACACACTAATAACTAGACTACATACATTATAGTAGCATTCAATCAGATGTATGAAATGAACTATCATGTTACGATCTTGTTAAAACAAATAGTGATTATGACGATGGTGATGATGATGGCAATTGCCATCACCATCAACATGTTTAACACTTGAATTAGTAATGAAAGCAAATGTGTATATATATATATATATATGGTGAACTTACTTACTTTATCATGTTGGGAAAAATAGTTGTTAGATATGGTGATTGCAGTGGAGGCATGGATGACATCAATCAAGCCATCACTAGAACGGGAGAGAGAGCAATGGTCAATCCAAATACACGAAGATGCAAATATAACAATGGCATCACCATCAGAGCCACCCCGGGGGCCAACATGCATTGGTGTGCTCCGAACCATGCCGTACTTCCCAGGCTTACAATCATGAATTTCGATCTCATGTATGATCACATGACTAACCGCTTGTATAGTAATACAAGGCCCATTGGCTATTTCCACTTTAGCCCCTCGTCCATCTATAGTCTTAAAACTATTCATAATAAGCTCATTCTTGAGTGTTATCACCATGTCCTTAGCAAAAATGATCCACAGAGGCTTCGTTTGGATTACACCATAGCGAAGCGTGCCGGGTTTAGGGTTAATGGGATCGTCGGACGGGTTGGTGACAACATACGTGGCTCCATACTTGCCTCCCATTGCATCTTTGCCGAAGCCGACGGCACAATCGGCCAATGCACGGCGGTTGGAGGCCCAGTCAGGGTTTGTGCGCCAGCAAGAGTCTATTTTGTTCATGATTTTCGGGTTTGGATTAAAACCACCACTAGGTACATAGTAGTCAGCTTGCAAGGTTGAAGAACAGAAGATTATTAGAAGAGTTAAAATCGAAAGGAAAGAAGCTTGGGAGGCCATGGCTGGCTTGTGAAGTGAGATGTGGGAATACATATCATATAAGTACACACATGTATACATATATATACACACAAGGAAAATGCTATTTGGACCTAAAAATCTGACATAATCTGTTGACCTAATGACATGGCTTCATTGAAACCATTAGATTAACACCAAGTTCCAATGTTTGATGGAGCCCAGTAATATTTATCACAAATATATGTGGGATAAATTACGCTTAGGCCCCCTGACCATGCCCTTCATTTCCCATTTGCCCCATAGGCTATCTAATTATTTAAGTTTCACATGGTCCCAATCATTGACTTTAATTTTTTGCAATTTTAAAATATTAAAAAATGTGACCTTTTTCTCCTCAGTTGGGCAAAACTCCATTTTTTGCCTTGATTTTCCATAAAGAATAAGGCAAAAAATAACAATGGGGACAGCAACATGAGATTTAAACCAATAGTTTAAGGTGTAATGTAAGAAAACGAATAGGTTAGGGGGTAAAGTGAAACAAGGAGCATAGTTCAGGGGTTGTTAGTGTAATTTTCTCATATACGTAGTTACTAAACAAGATGGTGCCCACGAACACCTTTCTTGCTAGGATTTTGAGATGCATTTAGACGTGGTTGCACCAGCTCAGGGTCATTGACTTTGGTATATTTATACATTAGTCCTCAGACATATGGAGGGTTTAAAAAATGTTTGACTTTAAAACTAGATTATGAATTGCAATATTATATCAATGTTGTTCAGTGAATATGTACGGATTGAGAAGAATGTCCACATGAATAATCAGATCAGTTATCATTCATTAGAGGTTCCTAGCATGCTATCTACTTGTATCATATGCTTGATTTTGTTCACTTATTTGCATATAGATTTACTGTAATAAACCTGGATCCACACTATCCAAATTCATATTGAATTTCGACAAAATATTCCACCATCCACCGTTGAATTTAAAATAATGTTATTTTGACATAAAAATCTGACTTAATTTGCTTATGGCTTCATAAAAATCATTGGATCAACACCAAATTATAATGTTTGATAGGGTCTAAGTCAGTCCAAAGACTACAGTGAACTAGGTCAGTAAATTAAGTCCTCGTTAGTAAAACAATATGCCAATGATCACAATTACTTGTGCAGTCTGATAATGGTTGCAAAATGTGTAAGTGAAAAAGAGATACAAACTTGGGTTCATGAGAATGTATCTCCTAGCTTAGCAATAAGGTTTGTTGCGCGTAACCCTCTTTAAGGGTATGTTTAGTTTAACTTAAAGACGTGTATTTAACTTTGTTATATATCTTGTTTTTTTGGAAAGATACACCTTATACTTAAAACAACAAACATATATTGAATCAATAACTATAAGAATTACAAACACAAAACTTACAGAAATAATAACTAATCATTTGGCAATAGAAGGCTTGCCTTTATTCGATTCTTACACAAATTAACAAGTTCCTTTGACTAAACAAATCGTTTTGGAGCAATACTACGTGAATTTAAAAAGTAGACTTAAAATCTGTACTAGATAATTACAACCATTAATTTCATTATGGACTCAAGTATTTATTAGGATCCACTATTTATTTCATAGTTGTGATTATCATGTACATTTTTTAAGTCTAAATAACATTTTCCATCATTTTATCCACATAAATATAAATTTAGCAGTACGTTTATGCATAGCTGCACATTCCATAAACGCATGAACTCCCCTTCTTGCACTTATTGTTGCAGCTTCCACAGTGCTTCTTGTTGGATAAAGGGTTCACGCACTTACCTTCGCAGCAAATTTCCGAAAACTTGCACTTCTTACCACACTTGCCGCAGTTGAGTGTGTCTGTCAACACATTGACACATTTCTTCTTGCAACAATCGGGTCCTGGGCTTCCCTTGGTGCGACATACTCTAGGGTAATTGTTACATGTCATTTCAACTCGTGGTTTTTGGGCTAGAAATCGACTAATCCCTCGAAGTGATATTGGGCTTTCAGTTTCTGGCAATGCAACATCGGAATTTTCTGTTGCAGAGCCTTTGTCGTCGTCGGTTAAGACTTCCTCTTGGGTTGGTGATGCTGAAAGAGTCATGGCTAAAGCCATAAGCATGGCCACTATGAAGAAGACCTTTAGGCACTTCATATTGTTGTAGGTTTGTTGCAAGAGAGAGAGAGAGAGAGAGAGAGAAAGAATTGGATGAGGAAATGAGGAAGTATGAAAGCTTGGGATGGAGAATGAAGGTTGATGACAATGGTATTTATAGAGAGGAAGTTGCATGGAGTTACATGCTTTCTTGTACTCTTAGTGGGGTGGTCATATACAACGGCTACGTATGAATTCAAGTAAACGAAAGTTAGGCTTTAGAGGAAATATTATGTACTCACCTATAGGGGAAGGTTACAGCACATGCACAAAGTTGACAGGGTAAGCCCATCAACCTAGTTCCAATGGGATAGACGTATGAATTACCATATGGAGATTCATAGTATGCTACATACATTCTGATTGATTCGACGTGTATTTATTTTTGGGTACGATTCACATCTCAAGTTTATATAATTACTGTCAAAAATATATATGATGAGGATAATTCTTAATCGACTATCAAAAAAAATAGATTAATATAAAAAAGAAATCGATACTTAATTTTAATATTATTTCTCCATTTTATTTTATCAAACCGAGGCATTACACTGAGACGATGACTTAGTTGCTTTTTTCATAAATTATAATGTTTCTCCGATCTTCTCCTTTTACGGCGACCATAGCACAAACTTCAAAAACATGTAATTACCCTCGAGGCACTTACATCAATGAAATAAAAATTCTCTTACAAGAATCGAAATTGAAACTTCGACATGGGTAATGCTACAAGCGTCCTATTTGAAGTTTTTCTATTACCATCTTGTTGATTTTTTCTTTACCGTAAAAAATAAGTTTAAGGTAGAAACGAAGAATTGTTTTACTTAGAATTTCATTATAATTAGTAAATAAAGTCCAAATAATTCGATGTGCAGAAGAATTTTTATACTGTCCAAGTAATTCAAAGTCCACGAAAACGCAGGAGTAGTTATATTCTGTATTTGGACTTGAAAAACCGTTACAGTAGCACTCGAGTTTTCAATTTCAATATCGTCTGTCTTTTGACTTGTAATATTATAATTCATGGATAGACTTACAGGGTTGACCCGTTTGGTTCTAATTAGGCCATCGAAGGACACAGACTCTCAAACATGAGACATTTATTATATTCCCGGGAGAAGACTTTCAAACCAAATTCAGTATCAAATTAGAAATATTAAAAAAAGTATAATTCAATTAGGTCGAGATATATTGTATTATATTGAATGGGGTCATTTATAATTGAATTTGAAAATGAGTAATACTATCAAGATCTGAAACACCGACAAAATTTATTGATTTAATGATATGTAAAATCGTAAAAAGTCTAACAGATACAGTTACAATAATTTTTTAAGACTATATTAATATCTCATCATTACATCAATAAATTAAGCTAATTTTTTAAATCCTAATATCATTGCTCTTTGAAAATAATAAAATAGATCCCGACATTGATGAGCGACTCAACTTTTTTGAATTTAGTGTATTGTTAATTTGACCATTTAAGCTGTAATTTGCCCTGATTAAGTCATAATTTTTATAAAATTTTGTAGGTAAGATATAAATTTGTCACCATTTAATCTGTATAATAAAGTAGAACGAATTTTGAATTTTCAATATTAAAAATTTTGCATATGAGCCTGCTAATCAAACGAGTCCGAACCAAACTAAACTTGAAAAATTTATTTTTTAATTGAATCTAAAAAATTGCTCAAGTTGAACTTGTTTAGAGTTGGCCAGGATTTGGCTGATTTCCAGTACAGCCCTTGGCCGAATAACTTGGGCTGACTAATCTCAATCACAAGGTGATGTGGGCCAAGCTCTTTTGTTCATTGTCGTTTGTCAAGTATGTCCTATTTCTTTCGAATTATTTTGGGCTAATTACCAATCGGAATGCTTTTTTTTTTTTTTGGAACTTCTTTGTCTCAGTTCACATCTGAATTTAGGTTTCATATTTACACACAAAATGTTTAATTTTCTAGAGATATTCATAATTGAAATCTCACCAAACTCCTGCTTTGGGAAGACTAATAGCAGCATTCGATGAATTCTTCTAGCTAACAGATATGACCTTGCATTGTTTTCTGAATTTGTCTCCTAATTTTTCTTTCCAAAATTTCGACTTTGGCTCCACCAGAACATTTGCATTGTATGTTTTTTGGGAATTTCAAGTGTGATTTCTATTAAGGGTGGTATTCCACTGGTGCCTTGTCAATTATAAATTGTGTCATATTTTTTTCATATTCAAGGTAACACAAGTTAGGTGGAGGAGAGTGAAAAGAGACTAATACACGTGTTTATGCGGAGAAAAATCGAAAACGATAAGTAGGATAAATGAATATGATAAAAGGAACTAGAACAGCCTATTAACGAATGGACCAACCAGTTTGATATAAGGTATGTGAAATAAATGTTCTTACCAGCCAAGTCGTAATTCGTCTCTACAGTAGGCAAGTAATACAGATATCTATAGCACAGTGTCCGCGCAAGTCGGGTTGTCCCAAAGACTGCCCACTGCGACCTTTTAACACTCGTGACAACTCACAATTGTCTCAACTACGGCGATATTAATAATCGTTAATCGCAAGTCACGTGTTATAACATTAATTAGACAGATGTAACGTTTCTCCAAACGTAGCTTGAACACAGCCCAAGAGAGGATGCGACAACCGAGGTAAAATGGTACTCTGGTCAGTTTCAATCCTAATACCTATAGGGAAGGGTGATTTTCTATCACTTATTCGATGGAATTGGTTTGTACACACTTTGCAGGTGGTTTCATGTGTTAATACCGTATCATTACTAAGTCACTCAAATGATCCAAATATGTTATCAAGTGACCAGAAGCCTAATTTAGGCTTATGTCATTCCTACTACGGAACTCTACGTACCTTATACATACAAACAAATGATTAATGAACAGAATGTAAATTAAATAACAAGATGGTAATATTTTTTTATGGGTTTACCCAATATTACAAGCTTATCATTCCTATTGTCATGTAAGTTTCCTTATCAGACAGACATGCTATGAAGAAGACAGAGAGCAGGAGGCTTAACTAATACAAACAGATTCAAAACATTAAAAGATAACAATTCTTATGCATAATTGCACATCCCATAAGCACACTAGTCCCCTTTTTTGCACCCACCACAATTCCTTTTGTCAAAGAATGTGTTCACACATTTCCCTTTGCAACAGGTTTCAGAGCACCTGCACCTATGCCCACATATTCCACAGTTTAAGCGATCCGTCGTCACATTTCTTCTTGCAGCAAACTGGTCCCGAACTGCCCTTCAAACGACAAACTCGTGGAAATTTGTCACATGTATAATTGTTTGGCGGATTGTTTTGTACTAGAAAGAGGCTCACCCCTCCGAAAGAATCAATTCCTTCAGTCTGAGACAATGCAAGATACTTGAACGTCTTCGAGTCATCATCAATGTCATCTGAATTCGACGTTGAAACGATAGTCATTGTTTTGAAGAGTGCCATGAAGAAGAGTTTTAGTGACTCCATGGCTAGAAAGGAAAGGTGGCATGGATGCATTGGGGAAGATTAGGGTTTTATAGAGGGATGGGATAGTTGACAATGGAAAAATGAAGTTACAAGTCTTGCTTTTTTCTGTGTGGTACTAATACAAGTGACTATTTGAAAATTACTCACATGCTTCCTAAAAGAAGAAATTTGTTTGATTAGTACTGAAGAAAAGTTAGTCTTACCAGAGATGCATTCCCATTTTGGTTCAAAAACAACATGTTGCAATGTAATCCTATTGTTATGTAGTAGATTTCAAACAAAGTCGAATAAAATAAAGAAACGTAAAATACATAAAATTACATGGTTCGTCCAAAAAATTTGTGCTAGCGACAAATGTTTAGTATCAAAAATAGGTGATTAGATAAGAACCATGAATGCTAAGGACTTTTGAAAATTTGTTTAGCGAACCAGCTGGGAAGAAAAAAATAGAATAGAATAGGAAAACAAATATGCCTTATCGATTCTATGCAGAGTACAAAGAGATTCATGAAACAAAAGCAAGAGAATAAGTGAAAAACTATTCCGAACCTAATAGTTTTACAGCACACAAATAGTCTTGTTTTTCAATTCAATTATATATTTTCAAATATCGAAGAAAGCAGTGATACAAAAATAATTAGACATAATCGTGTAATCGAACACAAGTAAAACTCTGAACCCAAAATGAATACTCTTAAACATTATATTATTCAACGAGTTTTTTCTAGTGCATAGGAAGAATATATGCAAGAACGGTCAATAGTCTAAACGTTTTTAAATCGGAAGAAAATCCATAATTCTATGAAATTTATTAAAAATAAAAGAATTTTTATAAAAAAATTTACGATCCAAATATTAAAATCTTTGACAATCCTATAACGACAAAAACACTAAATTGAAGGCTTAAAACAATAAAATTTGGCCTAAAAACCAAAAAACGGATGGTATGGTGATAAATCTTTGTTGTTGTAATTTTTTTTATGTTTATCATATTTCTTTAACAAAAAATATTATTTAAACTTATTTTAAATTATTTATATTAGATAAAAAGTGAATTTCATTCAATTTTAAAACTTATAATTAGTCTAATTCTCATTAGCTTCCATATTAAATTCGAATAGCAATGCTCGTATTTGATGGTCCAGCACTAAAGAAAACTTTTCAAATATACCAATTTTATGGAGCTACAGACCGTTATGTCGATCGTCAATATTTCAAACAAGAAAGAGTAAGAATGAGCTATGAACAAGGCCCAACGTCGCTTCTTCCATCTTCCAAAATCACCACCACCTCACTCCATCAACTCAACTACCACCAAGTCATGCAATGCTATAATCAATCGTCTCTCGTCCGAAAACGCCCACCACGACGTCCTTCGGACCTACTCCGACATGCTCTCGACCAACTCTCCACCAGACGCCTACACATACCCTAGTCTCCTCAAAGCCTGCACTTCCCTAAACCTACTCTCTAATGGGCTTTCATTCCATCAACAAGTCATTATTAATGGGTACTCTTCTGATCCATACATTGCTTCTTCTTTGATAAACTTTTATGCCAAATTTGGATGCACCCATCATGCTCATAACTTGTTTGAAATGATGCCTGAGAGAAATGTTGTTCCATGGAGCACAATCATTGGGTGCTATTCGCGAGCAGGTGATGTTAATATGGCGTTTTCTATGTATAATTCAATGCGACATGAAGGAATTCAACCCAGTTCAGTAACCATGTTAGGTATGCTCTCTGGAGTTTCAGAGGGTATCCATGTACAATGTTTGCATGGTTGTTCTGAAAGATATGGTTTCGGGTCTGATTTAACTTTGGTGAATTCTATGTTGAACGTTTATGGTAAATGTGGAAGACTTGGGGATGCTAGGAATTTGTTTGATTTGATGGGTAGAAGAGATATTGTTTCATGGAATTCTTTGGTTTCTGCTTATGCACTGATTGGGGATATCAGAGAAATTTTGAAGCTTTTGCATGGAATGAGGGTAGAAGGTTTGGAACCTGATCAGCAGACGTTTGGATCATTGGTTTCTGTGACTGCAAGAGAGAGCAATCCTAAAATGGGAAAATTGGTGCATGGGAAGATATTAACTGCTGGATTTGAGTTAGATACACCTGTTCTGACATCACTTGTAGGTATGTACTTAAAATATAGGAACGTAAATGATGCATTTTGGTTATTTGAACGGACTCCGCATAAGGATGCAATATTATGGACGGCAATGATCTCGGGTCTTCTACAGAATGAATGTGCAGACAAGGCACTGTCAGTGTTCCGAAGGATGATGATTTTAAGAGTGGTGCCATCTACTGCCTCCATATCCAGTGTTCTTGCAGCTTGTGCCCAATTGGGTTCCTTTAATATGGGGATTTCAATTCATGGCTACTTGTTGCGGCAAAGAATACCAGTAGACATTCCTACCCAAAACTCCCTCGTTACCATGTATGCAAAGTGTGGTCATCTGGAGCAAAGTTGTGCTGTTTTTGATATGATGGACCAAAGAGACTTGGTTTCATGGAATGCAATTATCGCAGGGCATGCACAAAATGGCCATCTGGGCGAGGCCTTATTTCTGTTTAATGAAATGAGGAATACCCTTCAGAGACCTGATTCAATAACAGTTGTCTCTCTTCTTCAAGCTTGTGCCTCAATTGGGGCACTCCATCAGGGGAAGTGGATTCACAACTTTGTCATTAGGAGCTGTCTTGGACCATGCATCTTAATCAATACAGCTTTGGTTGACATGTACTCTAAATGTGGTGACTTAAATTATTCTAGGAAGTGTTTTGAAAGTATGTCACAGCATGATTTGGTCTCATGGAGCACCATTATTGCCGGATATGGTAGTCATGGCAAGGGTGAGATTGCTTTGGAGATGTACTCGAAATTCCTGCAAACCGGGCTTGAACCTAACCATGTTATTTTCTTGGCAGTTCTCTGTGCCTGTAGTCATAATGGACTCGTCGACCAAGGTATGAGCTTGTTCCACTCCATAACAAATGATTATGAGATTGAACCAACCCGCGAGCACTGTGCTTGCATTGTTGATCTTCTTTGTCGTGCTGGTAGAGTAGAGGATGCATACAACTTCTGCATGAGGATGTTCCCTGAGCCAATGGTTGATGTTTTAGGCATATTACTTGATGCTTGTCGAGTCAAAGGTAAAACCGAGCTTGGGAACATTATTGCCAAAGAAATTTCCATGTTGAAGCCTGTAGATGCTGGAAACTATGTGCAACTGGCTCATAGCTGTGCTTCGCAGGCTAGATGGGAGGGTGTCGGCGAGGCATGGGTCCAAATGAGATCTCTTGGTTTGAAGAAACTTCCCGGATGGAGTTTTATCGAACTACATGGAACAATAACAACATTTTTCATGGGCCACAGGTCGCATTCCCAATATGAAGACATAGTATTAGTTTTGAAATCATTGAGTAAGGAAATAAGGAGAGTAGGCATGAATTTCCAACCCGGCAACTTCACATTAGATTTTGAAGAGTCTGAAAATGAGAGGTGGCTCTTACAAGGAGCTTAGAGCAGGCTTGAGATTATATCCAAAATTGTTGCAGTTTATGCAGCAATGCTCCGATTTGCAGAGGCAATTATGTGGCTGAAGTTAGCTCCTAACGTTTGAGGAAATCTCCTTGGACCAATCGACCATTCCTTTCAGCTTGTGCCATGAAGATATTGTGGTGACTCAATCCCACATCGCCAAGTAAAGTGTGTGAAGTGCGTGAAAAATTTGAGCTCTAGACATTCATTCTACAACACAATTTAAAGATATGCGGAGCCAGCCCAAAGTCAATAATATTGCATTGAGAGTCTAGGATGTTACAATTAGTGTCCGAGCTATCGACTTTTGTGGTTGGACACCGCAGGCTGTGTAGTCCTTGGTGCACCCATCTGGCAGGACAGTGGTTGGGGGCAAAAAAGGTTAGCGCGGTGGAAATCATCCTCCTAAATCCGACATCACCTGGGTCGGTTCAAGTTACAAACAATGATTTTTGGTCCTAAAAGGAGTGGATTGATGGTACTGAAAACTTTGGGGTAAGGAGGCTTGTTGGCTTACACAAAAGGCAGTTCCCAGAACCCTAGTCAATGTCTAGGGGATGGTGCATTGATGCTCATTGGAAAATAGAGATGTGGAAGAGATTTTGTTTCCAGAACAATGGAAACTTAAGAGGCTGGAAATTATGAGCTAGTATACACAAATGAGCAGCTCAGAATGGAGTTTTTTGTTACATCAAACAAAAAATTTATAAATTATAGGACATTGCTACAATGTTAGGGAGTTATGTACAATAAGTCCAGAATTGTCAATAGATGATGGCATACGTCTTGCTTAGTAAATAGTACAGATGATGAATCCAAACTTAACTTCCGCGATATTAGTGAAGGAAGAGACGGATCCTTTTTGTTTTGAGAGGAATAGCCTCTCATCTTCGGAGTTCCTCTTTTGCTACCCAGTGTCCGTACCATCAGCTACCTTCTTCATACACAGGCAATTTCCATAAGACAACATGATTGCAAAAAAATAGCATGAAAATATGTTGTGTTAGCACCCACCAGAAGAAAATCTGACGAGAGCGTGATGCATTGGTACATTCTCCTTCCCTTTCTCTGACTTTCACTGGATTATGGGATGGATTATGGATGCCAATTCGAAGGGAATGTTTTATATCCACTGAACTTTGTTCATCCTCAGAAATAAGACAAGCCTTGATGATGACAAATGGACTACCGTTGACCCACCTTAATGTGTTGGGGTTCCAAGATAACGTTCAGAATTCTACCAGGGACATAAATTCTCTTTCTGATAGTTCTACCATCTAAATACTTGGATAGTTTCTGATCGAGCAAAGCCAAATTGAAAGCATCCTCCTCTGTGCATGCTTCTTCGACCTGTACAGTACCCCTAGTCTTCCCGTTTATCTGAACTGGTAGGACCACAGTGGACTCTTTCAAATAGGTAGGATTGGCCTGCAATTAAAACTTCAATAAGAAGATGATAAATGACAACGAAAGACTAATGTTTACAAAAGAAAAAAAAGCTTAGGATTTAGGAAGTTTACAGTATAGAAGTCATCATTCTTCAGCAATCTAGTTATTATATTTTACATTTTGTTTCTTTTTTCCTTACATTCACACTGTAAAGATGGACTAGGTGTCCAAACCGGGCATTAAAGGAAATTCAGCCATCAGCAAGATCTGATGCCTTCTAGCCAAGCAATTCTGACAATCTCCAGGGGGGGAGCTCGCCTTGGTCTTGCTGTTTTGGACGATTCGACACAATGTGAAACATTACATTCATCTCGTAGTTTAACAGTACATTTTTTCACTTCTCGAATTAAAAGAGGAAAATTAGACAAGAGAGAGAGCATTGACAAAGATGAGTTACACATAAAGGGAGATTCGAGAACATAACAAAGTCATACCTCAGGAAAAGGTTCATATGCCAATGAAATTGAGTGTCCCAAGCGAAGCCAAAGCTCCTCAGCCATGTGAGGTGCATATGGTGAAAGTAACAAGACAAAGGCTTCAATGACCGACCTTGGAAGTTTATCCCACTAGAAACATGAGAATGCAAATGATAGAATAAGTGCTTCGCAAACAGTACCTGATAATTGAACTTTAAACTCAGATATCAACAACAAAAACACTCTTAAGCCACCAAATGAGCCAATGCAGCCCAAAAAATACTGTGGCATGGTTAATTGGCTAGTACCAAACCACACCCACATGATACTTATTTTCTTCCCTTCCAGTTGGTTAATTAGATACATGCTGGTGCATGGCGGTGGAATAATATGTTTCCACAGTATATTTGTCATGAGAGCAACAATAGAATGTCATATATCCAAAAATTCGGCTTTAACTTTCTTCTTTCTCCTTTCTTCTTTATTCCTCTTGTCCACAGTTATGATGCATTAACTGTTTCCCTATTCCCAATGCTAAGTGTTCAAATCTTCATAGCTTTACATAATATCCTAATAAATTGAACCCACCATTACCAGTTATTTGCACCAGATTTTGTTGCAAATGTAAAAGAAGCTACTGTGTCAGTTCCCAAATACACACCGTCACCTAGATCAGGTGCCAAACAGTGATTAAGCCAAGAGGGGACGGAAGGAAAGCGAAACACAAGTTGTTAAAAAGAGTCAGGACGAGAAAAACCTTATATGCAGCATTAATGAACTCCATCATTGCAGAAATTCCAGTGTTGAAGCGCGTTCCTTCAGTTTCCTGCATTACCTGCCACTCAAAGTTAACTCATCAATCAGATGGTTCATTTTGAATCGGAGAACGGTAATTGTCTAAATTGCATGATGACCCAAGTATTCTAGTAAAAAAAGCTTCAAACACCACCACTACAAAAGCTCGCATATGGGCAGTGGTAATTTTTCTATTTATACGAACATCAACAATTTCTCTGGCACAGAGAGTGCATATGCCCAAACCAACATAAAGGTTGAGTGAATAACACCATTAAGCTCCTAAGTATTTGCTCACTTATATCTGCAGTTACAAGATGCACTGCTCATAATGATTAAAATCTATGACAGAAGCAAAACGCGTCACTGTTAACTGATTAGAAAACTGTAGATTCACTTGTACATAAACCGTCCATAAATCCACACACTATCAGATTTGACAAGTCTGACTTCCAATGCAACAAAAAACTATTAACAAGGATTGACATAAATGCATTACCACATTTTTACAAAGTGCAAAATCAATGGTATATAGAGGCAGATTCAAATAAACTAAATATCACCTTATCTATGCATTTATGGAGACATCGAAGTTGTTCCAGAGAAGGTGTATCGTCACACGCCACAGTTCCATCTCCAAATGAACCATCAGGTAAAGGTGAACCCACAATCAACCTCCAAGCTCTCCCCAAAAACCGATGAACGCCTTCAATACCACTAGTATTCCATGTTTTTGAGTCTCTAGAAGTGCCAATAACAAAGGGCATGTCATGCTAGAGAAAAGCATATGTAAACTGAGAAACAAAAATCCCAATTCACGAGAAAGCTACCTAAATGGGCCCATGAACATTTCATATAAACGCAGAGAATCTGCACCATACTCCGAAACAACATCATCAGGATTTATGACATTTCCTCTACTTTTACTCATCTTGTGTGCCCGAGCAATCAAGCGAATATTGGGATTATCTTTTAGTACAAAAGAATCGCCACGTTTCATGACCTACATAAGGCAGAAAACACGAATAACAATAACATACAATAGGAAGTGAAAGTGGAAGGCCAAAGAAAACTTGCCATGTCTTTAAAAAATATAGCGGAATGCATCAAGAGGATGTATGTATAATGCATGCAAAAAGAGACCTACTTTTTCCTCCGGTATCCTTTCTTGAGTACAGTCACCCAACATTTCAATGAAGCTTGCAGATATCAAATTTCCATCTGGATTTCTGCATGCCATATATTGAACCTGCCACTTAAAACCATTAAAAACTTGCCACAGCAAACATTACTTGGTTATGACCAAGAAAGTTTGTTTACCTCCCCTAGGATAATCCCCTGGTTTATTACGCATTGAAAGGGTTCTTTTGTTGACACAACACCAATGTCATAAAGAACCTATAGGAAGAATTTAATCAGAATCACCCCTAGTGTTACAGAAACATAACAGGAATAATAAGGTCGCCGATAAAATATTAGAAAACAACAGTAAACAACATTATACATTTTTCCGGCCTTTCTTCATTTAGGCAGCCTAATTCTTAGTCTGGGGTTCTGTACTATCACAAGGATTTCCAAGAAGGCCAATTGAGGTCTGCACTCTGCATCCCCTTTGCCGTGGCTCAGAATTGATAGATTAAACAAAGTAACAAATCACGCTAGACGTTTGAGCTAGCCGAGCATCATACTGACCAAGGACTTGGCTCATAACAGAGGAATAAATCCTCAATCTCAATTATCTCATTTAACAAGAGATGCCCCAAGAATTGTTACGCCAATTGACACTAAATGGACAATTTGTAGAAATTCCATGAAAAGATGCATTTTGCCTTGGTTCTATGGGGTAAAAACAAGCAACAGACAAGGTACAAGGATGCCCTAAGTTCAGAGCAATTAATTTTTCTTTTCCTGATAGGAAGAGCAATATATATTTGAATTCAAACCTTGGTTCTATGGGGGTAAAACAAGCAACATACAAGGTACAAGGATGCCCTAAGTTCAGAGCAATTCATTTTTCTTTTCCTGATAGGAAGAGCAATACATATTTGAATTCAAACCTTGTGCCAGAACCTAGCATAAAGTAAGTGAAGAACAGCATGCTCAGCACCACCAACATACACATCAACTGGGCTCCAATACCTGCAGATGAAAGATGCTAAATATGGCTTAAAGAGCGAAGCTAAACTTTGCTTAGCATATAATTGCCTTCAAATCTTTTGGAGAACAAAAACATAACTACAACAACACTCTAAGTGAACTGGCAACAATAGCATGCAAGTATGAAATTTGTTTTGGAAAGGCTGTTCTTACATTTCTTTTGCCTTATCAACCAACGCTTCAGAATTTGTAGGGTCCATAAATCTCAAATAGTACCTGGAAATAAGTGAAAATAGAATGAAACAACAAATTCTGCATGAAATTTATGCATTTCCGAAATGTAATTCCTGAATAATGTATAGAGGCCAGTCAATTGAAAATAATAATACCCAATATTAAGTTCCCCATTGACCGTGCAAGTGTAATTTTGTTACAAGTATAAAATGCTGGCAAGTTAGACAAGAAACTGGAAGTTGATGAAGACAAACCTAGCAACTAATGCATATGTCATGGAAAACTGAACCACGGAATCTAATGGAAAAGTGAATTACCAGCAAGAACCAGCCCACTGTGGCATGGTGTTTGTTTCACGTCTGGCAGGCTTTCCAGTCAAAGGATCAGTGGTTTTAACCTGAGAATATGTCATCCAAATGCAGGCTATGAATACTACAATAAAAATAATTAGTCAGGTTGGTGGCAAAAAGAAAAGCAGGGCAGAAAACAATTGGAGTATTTAATGCAAGCAAACAATAGAAAGCAAAAATTTTTGTTTTGGCACCATGAACATTTTCATAATGAGATTATGAAAAAGAGGAAAATAATTTAGAAAAATAATGATAGATTAAGATTCCCACTCTCTAAACCCGTCATTATTACATCTGTCACCACCATCAATAGATAATAAAATATGACACATATGAGCTGATGTGTAAAACAATTTTGACATATAGACAAGAGAATGCAAAAGGAAAAACACACCCAAGACGCAGCTTTTGCAAGTGGTGGTTCCCCTGTTCCAGTGGGAGTGAAATCATCCAGTGCTGGAAGAGTGAGAGGCAGCTCAGTTTCAGGAATTGGAACACCTTCACAGGTGTCATCCAAGAAAATGACTGGGATGGGCTCCCCCCAATAACGTTGCCGAGCAAAAAGCCAATCCCTCAACTTGTAATTCACCTAAACCAAAAAAAAATTGACAAAACATAAATCGTATTAGATAGTGGAACCTACAAGCACTTGAATTTTCCTCTTTTTGTTAGTGTCACCTGCCCTTGTTACCTTCCACAAGGCAAAGAAAAATTGGGGGGGAGGGGGAAACTCAGATAGACACACTGATAAATGACCACAAGAAAAGTACCTTACTTTTCCCATTTCCGGTTTTTTCAACCCAATCAATGACTCTGGAGGCAGCTTCTTTGCTAGGTAAGCCATTGATGTCAAGCCCCGATGTGGAACATGATGAATTCACCATGGTACCTTCACCTGAATAAGCAATTCCAAAATTGCTGCTACTTTCATCATCAGGTTTTACAACCCTATGTATTGGAATATTATACTTCGAAGCAAACTCATGGTCACGCGTATCATGAGCAGGCACAGCCATTATTGCTCCTGTACCATAGCTGTATCATAAGGTTGTTCTATTAGTCATACTCAAGAAAATTTCTCCTAGTATTCAATTAGGTAAATTTTGCATATTGACCAAGTGGTCAACCAATGCACATATAGACAATATATGTAGGTGCAATTACATACTAAGAGGAGCAAATGGAGGCAACTGCCATACCAAACTTTGGAAATCATTTGAAACATACATTTGCACCCAAAGCAAAAATGCATACACTAATGTCCGCACTGCCCCCCACCCCCTCCCCCAAAAAAAAAAAAAAAGAAAAGAAAAAAGTGAAGAAGTGGAATCCGTCTTTGTAGATGTGATTATTGCAGCTATGTACATATCATATCCATTAAGGGTAAAAGAACCCAAGACCCTAAAAATTTAAGAAAAGGCCAAACACACCTTCCCAAAACATAATCAGCAATCCATATTGGGATTGCTTCCCCATTAGCAGGATTTCTTGCATAACAACCACTGAAGACTCCTGTTTTTTCCTTCTGAAGCTCAGTCCTCTCAAGGTCACTCTTTCTCGAGGCAAGCTCTTTGTATTCCTCCACCTGTGCTCAAGATTAGTCTAAGTTTAAATTCCCATGGCTATTAAACTTTTAAGACTAAACTATAAAAGGAAACAGATCAACATACATATATGGTTTGGGCATCAGATACTATTGATGACAACAAGAAATGCTCAGGTGCTAGGACTAAATAGCTGCAAAGGAATAGCAACCACTTAGAATAATCTCAATTATTGTCAGAAGTTATGAAAAGGAGAAACAAGGAAAAAATAGAATACGTTGCTCCAAATATGGTATCGGGCCTAGTCGTGTAAACTGAAATTTTCATGTCTCTTTCCATCCCATCAGTGTCCAGAACACAAAATTCCATCTCTGCCCCTTCTGACTTCCCTATCCAGTTCCTTTGCATTTCCTTTACACTTTCAGGCCAGTCAAGATCATCCAAATCCACAAGAAGACGGTCAGCATATTCAGTAATCTTGAGCATCCATTGCCGCATTGGCTGCTTGGTAATACACAATGAACTGTACAATTATAAAACCATCCAACAGGTAAAAATAAGATAACAAAGCATGATTTGAATGGATTATTACCACAACATAATGGAGCATAGAAGTGCATACCTTTCTTATAACCGGATGACCCCCACGCTCACTCACACCATCCACCACCTCTTCATTTGCCAAGACAGTGCCAAGAGCAGGGCACCAGTTGACTGGCACTTCAGCCTGAACATCAGAAGACTATCAAATCTGGATCTAACTAGGCATAAGTCAACAATCATTACACTAAGATCGAAATGATGGTGGACCTGATATGCCAGTCCTCTCTTTAAAAGCTGCAGAAATATCCATTGTGTCCATTTATAGTATTCTGGTTCTGTTGTAGAAATTTCACGATCCCAGTCATACGAGAAGCCTAACAATTTAAGCTGAAAACCACTTACATGTCAAAAAACAGAGACAGAAGAAGACCACTTGGCAAAAATAACAGAGCAACATGATATGCATGAAACTGAGCTGCGAGGAATATCAAATTGCTACTATAATTAACCACAAAAAGTAATTCCATGCATTTAAAGTGCATGAGAATGAAATGCACTCCAATCACAAGATCCAAGTACTGCATCCCTTCCTCCTTCTGCTCGGAAGGGACCTTTGTTACTGGGTCAAACAACATCTCTATGTTCTATGTCTTAACCAGAACATCATGCATATGTAAGCATTTTTACTGGAGAGAATATTGATTACTTATGGATAAGAAAATTTTAGTCTGAAACTCTATATACAAATAAAATCTTTAGGACCACAATATAAACCTGAAGGACTGCAAAATTTCAGCATTTCATAAATTACCATATAAAAGCCTTCAAGCAAATAATAGGACATAAGATACCCAAAAAATGAAGAAGGACAGTGCAAGACCTGAGAGCGGAAGCGTTCAATGTTCTTAATTGTTGTGAGTTTTGGGTGGGTTCCTGTCTGTCAAAAGTAGAAAACTTTTAGCAAGGGATAAGAGCCAGAAAGGCCAAATTTTAAATGACATATTAGAATTGACCTCAATTGCATATTGCTCTGCTGGCAAGCCAAATGCATCCCATCCCATTGGGTGCAAAACGTTGAAACCCTGCATACGTTTCAATCTAGCAAGAATGTCTGTGGCAGTATACCCAAGAGGATGACCAACATGTAGCCCCGCTCCACTGGAACAGCGGTCAGATGGAACACCAAAACCTCAGTCACAACAAGCCAAGCTACATAATACACATGAACTAGGTGACAACTAAATAGTCACATGAAAGCCGCCAGAGAGTTTGAAGTCTTGAACAATGCAAAATGTATGAGCAGAGTAGCTTTGAAACTGACAATATTGAGTTGAACACTATTCCAAGCAAGTGTCTAAAATGGAAATTAGATTCCAAAAAATAAGGAAGGAAAATGAAGTTTGATCAAGATAACTGATAGGAAGCAACTGCCATCAAAAGCAACTTGATCGAGCAGCGAAGACAAGCAGCAGTTGGCACAAAGATCAATTCAAACAACTTGACAAAAATGTAAAATAGGAAGGCATGAAGCTAAGGGGCAGTAAGGCACCAGCGGCAAAGGAAATGGTTTAGGAATGATGGCAGGGCTTTCTAAAGGCGGTCTAATGAAAATCATATACATAACTGATGCATATAGGTATAGAAACTATAGGTATCTACAACATGTAGGAGTCAGCATACTGTGAAGATAGGATAACCTATCCAATGAAATACTATTGACGAACTTGTTTACCCAGATTGTAGAGTCTTAAGAGAAAGCCTCATAAATGGTGGTGAACACTCTAAACTACTGTGATATACAATCTTATAGTTTAACCATCATTCTATCAACCTCACAAGTCATAACAATTGCACTAGTAAAGAGCAGTTATTTAATACGACTGGGAAGTGCAAGTGCTACAAGGAATACCAAAAAGAATGTGAGTCAAGGGAGTGAATAAACACAAAATGAAATTCGCATCAAACTGAGGACACAGACGTATAAAAAGCAATAGGAACCACAATGGAAAAAAAAAAACACAAGATTTTTAGCCTGCGACACCTGTTTGCTGTAGTTTAAGGGTGTTCATTTAGTCAGCCTAGTGTCACTAGGCCAGCCAAAAACACCCCCAAAAGGTTCAACCTTAGTCATATTCTCCTATCCTAGATAGTTCCGTCAGAATAAAATTCAAACACACGTTCTGCACAGCACAAATGGAAACAGTCTCTACTCTCGTGTCCCATTTGGTAGAATTGATTTGGGTCCTTGAAATTAAAATTGGTGGAAGGTAAGTACATAAATCGAACTAGTTTCCTACCTATTCACATTCCAATACTCAAATTCCAAGCAACCAAACAAAACAATTAATCAAATCTTCCTCCAATCTTGAAGCTCTGGAAGGACAAAATTTTCTATAAATCTCACATTTTCCAGTAAAGTTTACGACTTTTTACATTTCTAAGCTACATCATCTACAATTTAATCAGTGTGTGCGTGTGCGTGTGTGTGTGTAAAAAGACAAAAGGCATAGATTCAGAGAGAAAGAGAATTATGGAGAACCTTGGATAAGGAAACATGTCGAGAACATAAAACTTGGGTTTCGAAGTATCGATCTCATGGGGCGTCCGAAAAGTTTTGTTCTGCTCCCAAAAACGCTGCCACTTGGGTTCAATGTCATGAAAAGGATACGCCCTCCTCACTTGCTGATGCTGCTTCTCCTCATCAACTTCTTTCGATTCCTCGCTCACAACACTTTTACTACCAATACTACTACTCTTATTGGCACAGTTCAAGACTCTCAGACCAGAAATGGCCCTTTTAGTGGCAATAATGGTAGTGCGTTTTCGTGGTGGTGGTGGTGGTAGTAGTAGTTGGACAGCGGAGAAGGTAATTGTGCGGTGGCGAAGAGGAGGAGGAGATAGTGATAGAGGGAATTGAATTGGACTGTGAAATTGAATTTGGGTGTTCATTTTCGGGGAGGGGGAGGAGGTGGAGGTGGAGGTGGTGATGGTAGATTGGGAGTGAAGTATTCAAGTGGTTGAGGATATACGTAGAGGATAATGTGCTGTTGGACTTGGCCGTAAAACGGATTGGGCCTTCCCAACCCAAAACACGGCCCAGTATGACCGAAGGATAGGGCTTAAGTTCGACCCAAAATTCGAGCTCCGATCATTCTAAATGATATGCCAAAATTTTGAGAATTGAATTTTTGATATAAGTTAGTGAGCCCCGTTGATCAAATTACTCACGCGGATTTGGAATATAAAATTTGATAAATAATTTAATAAGGATAACATTGCTCAAAAAATTATATCTAATGAACAGAACACAACATTAAAAAACTTTAAGGATCACCATAAAAATTTTAATAATTTTAAATAATAATATTATTTTGCATAATTTTAAATCTAATTTGAGGATCTAATGTATTGATATCGTTGGGTTAAAAGTAGACTATTTCTAATAATAAAATATATAACTAATTTATTATTATTAATAATAAAAAAAAAAAAATGACTTTGGTGTCCACTTCAAATAAAATATCCATAATACAAATATTGTATTCTTTTATACATCTGTTTATTTGTTTTAATATTATTTATTAGTGATAACACATCACCTTGTCGTGTATTACCGCTCTCGTAAAGAATATTTTCTCCCGCCCACACTCGGTCCCTAAATTCCTATTCTCATGGCCCAGCTGTCAAGCCGTAGGAATAGGTGTAAACTAAGATCCTTAATCTTTTCTTTTTGTTTTGGGTTAATTACAAATTATACCTTACAAAATTATTTAAATTTTAGTTTATACCCTCAAAGATAAAAATGTATATCAATATACACCTGAAACTAATAGTCGTCAGTTTGTCATCTAAAATTAAATGAATAAATTATATCTAGATCTCCTTATACTTGTCATTTAATTATTTGAATCCTCTCTCATTTAGAATATTACTATTATATCCTCTGACGTTTGTGTACGTGTAACACATAACTTTTTATCGTTGATATCTATTAATATAATCATTAAAAAAATATAATTTTATTCTAATAAAAAATTATAATCTCATATTACTCTTTATTTTGTGGATTCGTTATATTCTAAAATTTAAAATAAAACTTATCATTTGAATGTCTAATATAATACAGATATTTATATAAAATTCTTTGTATCCAATACAATGCATCACTTAAACAAAATTATTGCCCAATTGCAGAAACATGATTATTCATATTTAGATCCTCAAGAGATGTATGTATAATATTTCAAATGTGAAGGGTTTAGGTGATTAAGTGATAAGTATGAGGGGATCTAGGTGTAATTTATCTATTTAATTTTAGGCGATAAATTGATGACCGTTAACTTTAAGTGCGCATTTATACAAATATTTATATTTGATGGTATAAATTGAGATTATCTTTTAGGGTGCAAATTGATATTCGAACAATCTTTTGATGTACAATTTGAAATTTTTCTCTTTTTTTTTTTGTTACAAAGTGTCCAGGGTTGCGTCAATTAATCCCTCGAGCTCAGTGGGATTGGTCACCGTAACTAAGATAAGGATCTTAGTCATTAAGTAAAAAGGCAGTTTTGTCATTGTCAATCGCCAATTACAAGACCCTAATGGACTTTTTTTGCAGTATAAAAGATGTCCTGACTTGTTAATCTTTTGCACAGAAAAAGTGAGGATGGATGGAGGAGGAGGAGGGACCCCTCTCAAACATTCTAGAGAAGTTTTTCAACCTCTCTATGATTCCTTGGATACTGAGCAATCACAAGTTTTGAACAACTTGATGCAGGATGGAGAAAACTAAAGGTTGTGTTTGGTTTGAATCTTCAAACCTGTTTTTTTGTTCTCAAAACCTTAAAAAAAATGAAAACTTATTTGATTAGAGATTTTGTTCTCAAATTTTCAGAAAAAAAAAGTGAGAATTGAATCAAGAAAATAGAAAACAAGTTATACTTGTTTTCAGACTTTTATGGCAAAAATTTTGAAAACACAGAAAATAAAACTCTTTAATGAGGTCTACCCTTCGAGTCCCTTTAGTAGCAAAACTAGTCCTAGTATATATAGGCTTCATTATTTTTATTTTCCTTCCTTTCTCTATCAATTTTGCCCATCAAACAGAACGAAGACACACATAGTGCTTGTCTTCTCCAGCTCTCTCTCTCCATTTTGCCTCTCAAACAGAACACGCGCGCGCGCGTACACACACACACACAAAGGGAGCTCATCTTCTCCAGTGTCTTCTTCTTCACTGTAACCAGAAAGCTTCAGATCTGATCTTTCTCTCTCTTTTGCAACAACTAAAGCTTCAGATCTGAGCACATGTCTATGTGCGTCTATATATGTGTCTGTGTGTGTGTGCGCGCGCCTCTGTGTGTGTGTCTCTGTCTGTGTCTGTGTTTGTGTCTGTGTGCGTGTGTGAGTGTGTTTTGTGGAGACAAAGAGAGGGAAAAGAAAGAGATAGGTGAGAATTGTAGATTACTGTTCAAACAGATTTATAATTTTTGTTTTTTAAAACTATTTTTAAAAACATACAACAAAACAGGTTTTGCAATTTAAAATTTAAAAAAATATTTTTTTGAAACTCTTCCCAAAAATAATTTTCAAATACTATTTTTTCAAATAAAAACTAAACAGACACTTTGTTTTCTAAATTTTTTAGAAACTAATATGAAAGATAGTCTGTCCAAAACAAGTTTTCATGATAGTCTATCCAAAACAAGTTTTCATGATAGTCAGTCCAAAACAAGTTTTCAATTGTTTTTTTTATCACAAAACAAAAAATCTATTTTTGAGATACAGAGACCATCCAAACAGGTCCGGATTTCTCAAACTTTTAGGACTTTGAAGTATGATTGGTAGAGATATATGAATCCAAAATCATTGTGGAAACTTCAAGAGAAGAGGAGATAAGGTACTCCACAAAATCTTCAAATCTTTGATGATTATAGGTAGCGTTTGTTGTAAGATTACTCTCTCCAACTTTTTTTTTTCCCTTTTTATTTTGTTGTTGTCAAAAGTATTTGTTCTTCAAATAGTCTTTATTCATTTATTTTATCAAATCTTGGTATAGACATAGTTTGGTACACAAGGGGATTGTTTTCACCATTTAGATTGAGATCTCCTCTGATGCTAATATCTTTTAATTTTTTCAAATATATATATATATATATATATATATATATATATATATATATATATAGGATGCAACACAAGCACTTCCTAGAGGGTCACCCATCCTACAAATAAAATATTTATAGGAAGAAACTTTGTTGATTATAATGGGTTTTATTTGAATTCATGTTAGGTGCTTTGGAATGATGGAATTGAAGAAAAATAGTGCCAGAATGAATATAAATATGCAAGAGGTTGATTCTGATACTCAAATCTACTGTGTTTGGATAGTGTTGAGTCTAAGAGTTCAAATGGTTTATCATGGGGGTAAAGTTACCTAGCACTCCACTTGTCTTCTCTCAACTCCATTATAAGAAGTCTAGTGCACTGAATACGATCTTCAGTCAGCCTAACAAAAACAATAAGTCTTGTACATTTGATACGACTTTTAACATTTAAGTTCAAACATAAATTACAAGCATTCAAATTTTATTTGAAATGTGATAATTTTTTATGCGATATGTTTTCATAACACTAGGTCTACATGCGACTAATAAGTTTGGATTGAAACTAGTCATGATCCTATATTCATCATATGGATTTGACAAATTATATTATGATGTTGATGTTTAAATGTAAAATTTATTGGGACTCACTCATCGAATGAATGATAATTTTTGTAATTTTTAAATTTTAGGTTGTGTAACATTTTTCATCTTTTTATAGTTTCTCACCCAAAAGTAAGAAATGTTAACCATGTAAACTATTTGACTTGATATATGACCCATTTATTAAGAGCAATATGCTACTCGGACATAATTTGAAAACTTAATGATTGTGGTCATTGGATTATCAGTGAATCCAAGCACTGAATACACTTTACGATCAATTAAATGGTTACAACGCATTAAATCCCTAAATTATTTTCCCACAGCATTAGTGATTTGTTAAACGGGAATATATATACTTTTCGTTTGACTAATTATATTTTTCATGGTTGATTCATTTGAGTTACATTGGTCATCACAAGGGTTAGAGATTTCGAAGTGATAGTTAATTGTTTATTACGTTTATTATAACACACTTGATAGACCAAATCGCAGGTTTAGTATAATGCTACTACCCTGAACTTGTTACACACATTATTTATGCTTGAGCATGCTTAACCATCATTTACTTCTACTTTGAAATTTGTTTTCCATGGTTGATTTATATCTACAACCCTCCTTTTTCTGAATCCATCTTACATCAATAACCCAACCCCAAGGCAATTTTTAGTAGTTGTCTAACGACACTTGATTTGTTCAAAATTTCACTAAACTGTTGCATGACAGCATAGGTTCTTAAGAAGGAAATTCAAGAAGTACAAACTTTTTAGCAAAAAACCTGTCTCAAGGCGGACAGGTCACCGAGATGCGAGAGGAACAAGAGGCAATGTCTATGTTTTATTAGGAAGACAAAACCTCTGAATGCTGCCACAAAAACTTGCAAAACTCTTCCTTGGGCCAACAAAATTATTTCACAATCCAAGGATCACAGCAGCAAACGGCGATTATTACAGGAAGTTAATACGAAGTTACATTATCGTCTGTGAGAGTGAGTGATTGGCAGGTAGCTGTTGATTTCTATTAGCATCATCACCTTGCGGATGTCAGCTTTTCAAAATCATCAGCAGCTTGGTTGATAGCATGAAGGATCATCTTCTTTATCTGTTTCAAAATAATCGAATTTTACTTGACATCAAATAATTCATTCTATTTAGAAGGACATGAATGAAGACGGGAAGAAACAGATGTAGAAAATTTGCATGTAATAATAAGCATATACTATCGTAGATACAATATGCTACCTCTAGTTTGTCTTCTTTAGCCCTGTGGTATTTTGGTAGCTTCCGAAACTCCTCAGTTAGGCGCATGCATTCGTGGACATTTTCAGGAGAAACAAAGTCCACAGCAACCTTTGTGCATGACTGTGTATGCAGGAAAAGTAGGAATTCAAAATGGTAGTAATATAAGCAAGGCAATATGTTTTTCATGGCACGAAGGATGGAAAATTATTACCGACAAAAATAGTACCTTGAGATTTCGCACTTGATGTGGGCATCCAGCAGGAATAAATACTGCCTCTCCAAGTTTTTGCACAAACGTCCAAGCCTCTATTCCTGAAAATATTGAAGTTGTCATATATATTTGTTAGAAGTTATCCCATAAGTTGCCGAGCACTTTGGTGTACACAATAAAAATGATATTGCCATGTTAATACTAACCATATTCCTCCTTGAGCTTCCTTTTATGTTCTGAAGTCAAGTAGAATGTTTGATCATGAATTGGGTGAACAACCTAATTGAGCAAAGGAAGACTCTAAGAGACTTGAAGACATCTGACATTACAAACCTGAAGCTTAATTTTACAAATTACCTGTTCAACTGGACAACAATAAGTGTGCCTAAATTCTGTTGAATGCTTGACAAGATACTCTTTTAATTTCGGTACATCTTCCCTTCGGAAGATGTCCCAAAGAGCACATCCTGTTTTCTCTGTCTTTTGTTCCGGTTGGAAAGGAAAACCTAATATTCCTGCATCCTCACCTACCAAATTTCCACTCACTACTTCACTACTTCTGTATGGCTTTTCGCTTGTAGAGACAATATGATTAGACACCTCCAGCCCACAACATGCAGCTCCACTGGAGTTTTCTGTCTCTTCATTGATTCCATTCTTGAGTTTAGCAAAAAATCCATTCATCTCTCGATCAAAGCGTTCTCTTGCATCCTGCGCTCTGTGTATCCTTTTCAACCTTTCGATTGCACAGTGTTGCTCATCACTTAACATGACTTCTGCTGTGTGAGTCAATATATTCACCTGAGCCAATTTGGGAGTGCATGAGTTTTTATATTAGCATGAAAGAATTTATGTTACATGAGGATTTTTACACTACCAACACATTACAATGCATAATTTGGAAAAAAAAGGATTAACTTGATTGGATGGTTGCCACTGCCTTCGGGCATATATAAACTGCCTTTATTGAAAGGAATGCATTCGGGCATATATGTTTATCTGCACTAGTTTTCATCTCATTAAGAACAATTATGGGTTGCAAATGCCTCTGGAGAGAACTGGAGATGCTCTCCAATGAAGAACCTGTATGAGAAAACTTGATTCATTGACAAAAGAAATGCTAATGGGAACCCTCGATCAATAAGGACTTCGGAGACTGCAATCGAATTGAGAAAAAAAATAGAAATGGAGGGCCAACTATTCTAGTTGCGTCTCTAACCTTACTATGCTACCCATAATTGCCGATCAAATCCGTTAAAGGAAGTCTAATCAAAGCGCAATATGTAAATGTAGAACTGATTATCAAAAATAGAAGACATAAGCGAAAAACAATACCGAGATTAAAATTCATACCGCATCTGACATATCACAATGAAGTTTCGTTACAGAATCTCCACGTCCAAGTTCTTCTGACATCCCATAAGCAATGTATGTCTTTGGACCCAAATCAGGCTTTAGGACACCTGGAGGCAACTTCGCAGCAAGATTGAGAAAACCAATCCTAGGATCTGTGTATTCCTGGAATGGTAATGCACTGATAAACTCATCACAGTGACGTGGCAAGAGATCCTCAAATTTATCAGAAGGCGGCCAGTCCTTTAGTTTGAGCATCTCAGGCCAGAAATTTGCATATCTTCTCCCTTCTACATAACCTTTGAAAAATTTATGAGTATTAATCTCAACCTGCAAATAATAGCATAATGGAGTTAAAACATTTGACATGAAGCAACAACAACTGGAAAAGAAATTTGCCACTAAGATGTCAGATGGCTAAAACTCGAAAGTTATGGAATGAATGGGTGAAAGTCATGTGATCACATTATATGACTCGACTTTTACCAACAATATCCATTCAACACAGAATGGAACCGGTTACGCTCTTAAAATACAGAAATGATACTTTTGTAGCACAGATTGAAGATTGGTATCAAAATTTGCATGATAGATGTCACACAATGACCACAAATATGCAGGAACTTTAATGATACAAAATACTAAAATACTTGACATGGAAGTGGGCGCGGAAGAAGATGATTATGGTTTAAATGAATATACCTGGTCGAATAATGAATATAAAAATGGCAATAAAGTTGCCAAAACTAACCTGACAACCAGCCAGGCAATCGATAGCCTTTACTTCTGACATCTTTGAACTAATCTTCAAATCCACATTCTCACACAATGCACGCCACATAACCATTGGCTCCCAGCTTAAGCCGGTCGTCTGCTCAAGAACATCTTGAACAATCACCGGCTCACCTTTTTCCCAGTGGCTACGGAAGCGCAAAAGCTCTTCCTCCTTTAAGGCATCCTTCGCAGATGGAAAATACAAATAATTGTCATCAGAGCCTGCTCTAGAAGCTGCTCTATGCATCATCTCACCATCATTGTTACAAATCGACCCGGATAATTTTTTAACCATTTTACCTTCAGCTACTATTTTTTCTGCTTTTGCTTCTAAACTCGAAATCCAGCCCTTTGGAAGGATACACTTAAGCTCCAATACACGATCACCACACCCACCCATTTCTTTTGGAGCACAGCCAACACTTCCATCAACTTTGGCGACCCAATCAGTCATAGGCTCACTCCAATCCACGGAAGTTTTCTTGCAAGAAGAATCTGGCACTGGGTCTCCACCATGACTGTAATCATAGCCTCTATCTGTATATTGAAAACCTACTCTGTTGTAATCCACTGGAGGATCACCCCTGCGAATCTCCCGACAACAACTAATACAGAGTTCATATGAGCAATTAGGGCAACTTCGATGAAGATCAATGATTGAAGTTGCACAGTGGTTGCTGCTCAAGACAAATGAAAGATTCCAAAGTTGAATAGAATGATAAATATGGCCATTCAATTAGATTAAAGCAACTTAGAAACTTACCAATAGACACGCTCATCGTTGGAACAAACAGATTGGTTTATTTCAATCAAAGATGACGGTTTTCCTACACATTCAAAATCTCCATGAGAAATTTAGAATATTGATGTCAAAAACCTATACCTATATTTTAAGGATATCTACCTTGAATAATGGACTCCATCTCTATCTCCTCAGTTTGCTCTTGACAAATTTGTTTTAGAAATGGATGAAGCAACTTGATCATATAGAGAAGATGCTGAACCTTTTCTTGATTATTGAGATCTTTCTTTGAAGTCTGAAGGTTGAAAATATCAAGTGGTTATTGGGACCATCAAAATTTAAAGTAGTTTTCAACTGTCTAAAGCGGAAACAAACCTTCAGCATTCCACTTGAGCGTAAGCACAAGTTGCAATTGCAATTTCCACGGCAAAATGGACAAAGCTCTGAAATTTCTTCTTCTGACAATTGAGGATACCTATGTACCCAAGCAAAAGAAATTACTTCGAGAAAAAAAAAACAATGAAATTATCAAAAGAAAACCTTTTCATAAAATCCAAAAAATACTACCGCAAAGAACTAGGATAAAAGTATACCATTGCTTAATACATTGGATACAATATAGCTTCTCTCTGCACTTGGTGCAAGGAACAACAATTCTTCTATCTTTTCTGCTACACTGATGACACTTCAAGCACTTCTCTCCATTGTTCTGCTTAAAATTATAACATTTGATTAACTAGCACATTTTTCATTCGGAAGGATATAAGGAAAAGAAAGGTATTATTTGAATGCGTTAGAGAATTCAAAGAAAAGATTTTTACCTTCATGTTCTTAGTTATATAACTGTCTATGATATTCCCATCACTTTTTGAAGCTGGAGAAGAAGAAGTGGAAGACGACGAAGAAGATGAACTGCGCAAAGGCAGGTTCTCACACTCATCATTTTTTTCTTTACTGTTCCGTAGACCCCGTTTTGTCATCACTTCATCTGAATTAACACTTCTACTTATCCTTGTTTCTGTTAAAACCACATCTTCATCATCACATATCCACTCACCAAAATAAAAATCCTGGTCAGCCGGCTTTCTATTGTTTGAGGCAGCACGATACCTTTCTGACATTTTTTTTCCATGTGAGCTCTCAATGCCTTGAGTTTGCTGGCTGGTCTTTATTGAGATGCTTGTTCCGGTAATAGAAGACCTCCTATTATCCATGCGCACCTCCCATTCTTCATCACCTTCATCTTCACATTCATCCATCCAAAACTTACCTTCATAACTTTTCTTCTTGTCTGAATCACCCAAGCTCCTCTCAGAATCTCTTTTACCATGTGATCCTTTGTGCTCTTGCATCCTCATACCTTGCTTAATTGAAATGAACCTCCTTTGCTTAATAGAATTTTTTGTTGTCCTCGACAATGATCCAGAATTGCACTTGTTCTCCTCCTCAACTTCGTCATAATCATATTCGGATTTATACTGAAAAAGCTCAGCCTGAAGAGTTCTTTTCTTGTTTGAGAAACATTGATGCCTCCCTGAGGTGCTTCTGTCATGTAAGCCTCTGATTCCCTGAGCTATCCGTGTTTTCTTGACTGACGTTTTCGATCTTCCAGATGATGACATTACATTGTTCTCTTCTCCCCTTTCTTCTTTTTCTTTCCATTCAACTGAAGAATATGCACATTGTACAATTCTTTTCTTGTTTGAGGCACTATGTCTCTTTTGGGGGAGTTTTCCACTACACGAGCCTTCAATTTCCTCATCTATCCTTGTTTTCTTGACCAAATTTTTTGTTCCTTTCAGTGATGATCTCACATTTATCTCTCTTTCTTCTTCTTCACAATTCATGACCTCACACATTTTTCTATTCTTTGTGAGTCCAGGAACACTTCTAGAAACCTTTGGCTTCATCTGCATTTTATTATTAGTGCAGCTGCCCAATTGTTCTAGCTTTGCAATCAACATTGACATCTTCACTCTCTCTGTAAACAAAAGATGAGAACCTGAAAAATACCATCATCCAGGTACAGTTCATGACAATATCGACACGAGGAATCATCTTTGACTACAAATAGTGCTTCATCCAATAGATAGTATTATACAAAAACATAGAATTCTAACCCAAATTACAAAAATTATGTGTATAAATTGGAATCAAACTCTATTTGTGGGTGTGGGTGTATGAGCAATGACTATTAGATTTAGTGTTGCACACCATTGATTCAAATATTGGTGAAGCTTATCTGCATTCAATGTTGCACGCCATAAAAACACATAATAACCTGTTGGTACCACCAAGAAGACCAAGACAGGTGAGTTGACTCAGAGTCAACCGAACTGGGCTGACAAATTCAACCCGTTCCAGTTCATTAATATACATTAATTCCAATAAACAACAAAAGGGTTCCCAGAGTCACAATCCATATCAATTCAATTAAATCATCAAGAAATTCTTCATAAATCAGATAATATTTAGATATGCAGAAAACAACAAATAAGAACAAAAAGGTAGCGGCATTGATTGATGATACCCTAAAAGGGTTTGATTCATGATTGACTGACCTAATCAATGACAACGATTTTCAATCCACTTTTAGCTCGAAACGTCGAATTTTTGAGACGTCGATGATGAAACCAGTGTGCATGCTCGCCGGCCAAAGATAGAATGAATCAAAATCTGATTGAGAATTCTGAGAAATGGATTGCTGGGTGAAGTGGTGATTGAGATAATAACAGCGAAACCTGGTATTGAAGATGGAGAGAGAGAGAGAGAGAGTCCGAGGTGGAGAGGGAAAAACAGGAAAACAGTGGGCTGGTGACGTAATATATTTAATTTGCGGGGAATAAAACGACAACGTTTTGGGTATCGACCGGATTCGACACTGGCTCCTCGGGTAATTCCGGGGAAGTCCTCTTTTTATCTTTGGCCATCACAAATGTACTAAGCACACTCGGGCGAGTGAAATACACGGGCGCGTGAAAAACAGCAATACACATGGCAAAAAGATTTTCAAAAAAATATATATTTTTTATTTGTAAATTTCAGAGCACGATAGTATACACATATTAAACAAAATTTAAAATAATTAATTTAATTTTTTAAATGCTCGAATTTTATGTTCAATCATATTTTTAAATCCGAGTTATGACTAGTTTATTTTAATAAAAATAACATATTTTAATTAGATAAGCATGTTAAATTTTCGTCAATTGACATTTCCCGTGACATGTACATAATCATAAAATTTAAATAATAAATAAATTAAAGAGACGAATTTATATTATATTATATTATAGGTAGAAAAACAAACACCTCTAGTTATTGAAGATAATCACTATTATTTTATAATTTTTGGATGTATTATAAATTTTTTCTTTGAAAGAGAAAAAAATTAAAAAAAAATTCAACGAGTAAAGTATCAAAAGAAATATACAACACAATTCGTTTTATATATCGATTATACAAAATTTATACACGACACGAATTTTATGTAACATAAGTCGTTAGACACAAATTAATAAACACTTTAGGTATAAATGAAATATTTTTTGACAAACCTACTAAGATACAATATAAATTCGTTTCACCCGACACGATTGATAATTCTACTTTTGTGTGTTCATAACAAATAAAAATAAAAACTCTACTAGTCGAAATTATTTTATTTTTTTTCATTCTATTGCATAAAAATAAAATACGACCACATTACAATTTAGAGAATTAAGTACAATCCAACAAAATATTCTCAGTGGGATTCCTTTTGAGTGCAATTAGATTTTTAAATCTTCAATATTTATGATTTTTAAAATTTTCAGATTCATATAATATAATTGCGAGCAATCAACTTAAATGCAAGAAAATCCTTTTAAAATATTGCGTATGGTGAAGAATATTTTTGCATGTAGGGCGAATAATTAAATACCACATGGGGGAGTTAATGGTGTTCGATAAAATCGGATTTAGATATTTTCTAATATATTTTATTTTTTATTTATTTTTTGGAAAATCATTCACATTAATAAGTAAAAGATTCACTTGAATACAAAGAGTTTCACTTGAATAGATATTAGATGATTCATTATTAATATATTAAAGGTGATCTTAGTCCGATAAATTTTTCTCTTGCTAATTATATTCTTTTATTTTACTCGAATTAATTGTCTAGTGATAAATTATTCTTGTTTAAGGTCAATTTATGTGAGTAATATATTTTATTGCTTGATTTTTTGGTGCTATGGTGATAAATTATTCTTTCAAATTAGTAGTTATAACTCAAGGGAGATATTTCACAGTTCAAAATCTTCATAGTCACGCCCAAATGAGATAATTGCTTACTCGTCGCTCCTCTCTCTCCTTTTTTTTTCAAGTTAAAAAAAAAACTATATTCCTTTTATATACCAGTATGGTAATTTTCTGAAAAAATAATTGAGCAGTGCACTGGTGCTAGTGGATGTCATGCCACGTGTATGTTTGAGTCAGCAATGCCAACCAATAGAAAAAAGAGTAAATGTAAAACGTGTTGTTTACATCATTACTGTTAAATTCCAAAAAAATGCATGTACAGGCCACGTGAAAAGTCAACGCACAGAAAGATACTCCCAACTTTGACGCAGTCACGTAACCATTCATCGCAAAAGAATCATTGAAGTGGGCCCCCTCCACTCAACTCAGGGGATAACGCTACAGTGTCCTCGGGAATATGGTTTAATTATAATATTTTAAAATTACTTTTCGATATCATATATTTATTTTTTATTTATTAAAATGCGATGCTTGCAAAAAATATATATATATTTAATTTACATTTTTTTAAAATTTTACAATCTATTACTATAAAACTAATTTAAACTAAAATCTACGACTATGATAAGTTTAAAACAATATATCATGGTATGGTATATCTGGCCATGGCCCGAACTATTTTGGGTAAAGTTGTCGAGACTGGGTAATCCATGCCCAACTTTTAGAGTAAATATTCATAGTGACAGTAATACTGCATGAAATATGTCACATTGTATAATAATTCAATAAGAAAATTAGAAAGTAGATGAAGTGGAGCTCTTTTCATTACATAGATATAATTATTAATTACATAGGGCTCACTTGCTTACTTATTCTCTTGTTAGTGAACAATTATACCAAATGACATTGCTGAAATAACTTAACCATTTAATAAAAATTTTCTCCTATGTTTTGTTAACTTTTAATTGTGGTAGAAATAATAAATAAAAATGGATAAATACAATAATTCCAAATAAACAGACTATTTAGTGAAAATTAGAATTAAGTCATTTTTAAGAAACTTTAAATGAGTTGAGTCTACCACTTAAATTTATTTGGGAATAAGTCTTTTTATTAAGGGTTAATCTCAATTTGTACCCTTAAAGATAGTTCGAATCTCAATTTATACCTTCAAAGATCAAAAATTTTAATTTGTATCCTCAAAGATAAAAATTATATTAATGTGCACCCCCAAAGATAAAAAATCTCAATTTACACCCTAAAAGATAGAAATTTGTATCAATGTGCACTCCCAAAGATAAAAAATCTTAATTTGCACCCTCAAAGATAGAAATTTATATCAATGTGCACCTAAAACTAAATTAATAAATTATACTTAGATTCCCTCATGCTTGTCACTTAATCATTTGGACCCTTCACATTTAGAATACTACTCCTACATCTCATGACGTTTATGCACGTGTAACACGTAACTCTTTTTTGTTAATATCTGTTAATATAACCGTTAAAACATATAATTTTATCCTAATAAAAAATTATAATTTCATATTAACATTTATTTATGGGTCCAATATACTCTAAAGTTCAAAATCAAATTACTATTTAAATGTCTAATAGAATAAAAGGTTGCACATTGAGTGATATATTGCATTGGATATAAAAAATATTATATAAATTTCTACATTCTATTGCTCTCGTCTCAAATTTATTAAACTTAATTTTTTATTGCTCATATTCTATTCTAAGATTACAAATTTTTTGTATGTTTCTAAAATTCTTTGTTTTAATTATAAAACAAAAAAAGAAAAAAATTAGTTAAAATTATATATTTTTTAAAAAATTTTGTAATTGAGATTAATTTGTTTGTGATGTTCAATAAACTAAATTTCTTGAAATTCATTTGATTAGGATTTCATTTATAATTTATCGAATAAGATAAAAGTAATGATCAATATACTAATCACATTGAAACCTTATTGTAATTAGAAATTAGTAAGGTCAACTGAGATGATATTTAACCTATATAATAAAGTAGCTTACAATTCAAATTTCAAAAGATAAACAAAATAATTTTTGTTATTCGCGGTTGATATCGCTTTAAATTTTACTTTAAGGTTGATCTAACGGATAATATTAACGTCCTAAATTTAATCGCAAAAAATAGGTCATAAGGGGTGTGTTTGGAGTAACTTTTTAAAAGTACTTTTAGAATTTATTTTTTATAATACTTTAAAAAAAAAGTAGTGTTTGAAACCGCCCCACCATTACCTGTACCACCATCACCCCCGCCGCCATCGCTGCCATCACCACCACCGCCACCACCCCCCCGCCCCCATTGCCACCAACCACAACCATCACCATCTCCTACCACCACTACTGTCGCCCACCACCTCTCACCCCTACTACAAATCGCTACTTAAATTCATTTATCTCTTCTCTATGTTTGTAATTTGATTTTGAATATAAATATAAATATGTTTATTGTTTATCATTTTTTATTACTTTGTGCCTTCAGGCACAGAGAATAACTAGTATATTTATATAATAAAATACAATACAATTCAAATTTCAAAAGATAAACAAAATGACTTTTGCTTTTCGCAGTTGAAATCTCTTTAAATTTTACTTTAAAGTTTATTTGACGACTAATATTAACACCCCAAATTTAATCAGGAAAATAGGGTCATAAGAGTGTGTTTGAGATAACTTTTTAAAAACACTTTTAGAATTTATAACTTTTCATAAGCATTTAAAAAAAAATATTTAGAACTATTCCACCACCGTCACCCCACTACCACAACTACCCCTACCCCCACCATCACTACCAGCACCGCCACCATTACCACTGCCGCCACCACACTACCACACCACCACCTTAGCTTCAACAACCACCACCACCACTGTCATCATGTTACCACCACTACCACATCGCGCCGCCCAACCACCACCATCACCGTTACCACCATTTTTATCGCTTCACCACTACCATTATCACTGCTACCACCACCCTACCACCATCACCCCTCACCATCGCTATAATCCCATCACCACCATCATCATTGTCGCCACCACCACCACCATCCCATCATCGTGTCCCACTATCACTACCATCGTTCGCTCCAACTACAACCAGTGCTTAAATTTTTTTCTCTCTCCTTTATCTTTGTAATTTGATTTTGAGTGTAAATACAAATATGTTTATTGTTGACAATTTTTTTTCACTACTCTGTGCCTTCAGACACAGGAATAACTAGTTACTCTATAATACATATTATCAATCAAATTAAAATTCTAAAAAATTCAAGTTTTAGTGAAAAATATACTACAATATCTATTTTTACATAAAATATTAGTACAACTTATAAAGTTTATTGTCATTGAAGAATTACACTAATGTAACATAAATTGATTTTATAAAACTATATATACAATTACTTTTTTTCTTAGAAATGAAAGAATTAAACTTTTCAATAAAAAAGAAAACACATATGTAGGCATTGTGTTATCTTTACATATGATATGAGTAATATTATATTGATAGAGTTTTTAAAGGTTTTTTTAATACTTAATTAAAAACATAGTAATGCATATTTTTTTAAGGGTAATATAATCAATCAAATTTTTTTTTATAAAAAATTGATATTTATACATACAAAATAGATAATTAAAATATATGTTATAGATAATTTAGAATTTTAAATATATATTGGTATGATGATAACTTAAATAATTAATTGCGAAAGGGTAAATTGGCATTTGCAATCCTTTATAAGGGCATAATAGAGATTAAAAAAATTTTCATCTTAAGATACTTTTATTAGTAATATGAATGTTACTATTTTTGTTTTAAATGTTACATTTTTTTTATTTTGAATGTTATTATTTTTTGTATTTTTAAATGTTATTATTTTTTTGGTCTTAATTCATCATCAGTTGTCCATGTTGTTTGATCCCTAATTTTGGTTCACTATTTTATGTTACTACTTTTTTGTTGATTATATTACTACTTTTTGTTGAGCATGTTACTGTTAATATTGCATCTTACTATTTTTTTTTCTTTCTAAATATTAATATTCAATGTTATTATTTTTGTTTTGAATGTTATTGTTTTTATTTTGAATGTTATTATATATATTTATATATATATGTGTGAGATAAAATAGTACTAATCTATATATGTATATAGATTGATATGAGAGAGAAACAATTTTAATATTAATAAAATTCTTAAAATTTAGGAGTTATTAATTTTTAAATTTATTTTAATTAAAATATAACTACTGGAGGTATTTTGGATAATAGAGATAAAAATAGACTTATTTCCAAACAAGTTTTTTAGTTGACTTAAGTTCAAATAAGTCCGCAAAAGGGAACTGACCGCCAAATTTTTTTTTTTTTCAATGGATTGAGACTTTTATAACTTAGGTTGGACTAGGGTTGAGAGTTTTATAATTTGGGTTGAGCTTGAATTGACCTCTTAACCAGCCCTAACCTACCCAAGTTGCAACCCTACAGCTCCCTGCCCCTTGGGCTTCCATGCCTTCCACTGTAGGGATAATAAATTCTACGCGACCCAATTATTTGATACGAATCAATACAAAATTAATAAAATTGGGTTTGATTTTAATGGTTTCAGGTGGTAAATGAATAGGGCCACTTAACTTACATAATAAACGAGTCGTATTTTGAATTGAGTACCTTAACCAATTTATCACTCAATTACATGTTTAGTAGATAGCCCAACTTTTTGTAAAATTAGAACTTTTAATTAAAAAACTATTTGTGTTGTAAAATTAATGGATAACACAAGTTGGGGTTGTGTAACCATTTTGTAAACGAATTGTGTTTGGTTTTACAATTTATACCCGTTTAACACGAGTGTATATGTGTTGAGTGGTTTTTGACTCGAATCCATTAAGACCCAAAATGAACTGTCTTGACATAACACGATTACCAAATATAATTCCACCGGTTAAGAAATTTACTTAGGGCCTAAATTTTATAGAGTAGACCAAGCTGAGCCAACCATAGTGTTGTAAAAATTAATAAGTCCATTTGACGATTTTAAATAAATTTATTTAACGGCCATTAACATCTATCTCAAAGTCATTTATATTGTACTGTAGTTATCCCTAATACATACATATATAGATTTTAAACACAAGAGACAGAGAGCGACTAAGATAAATTATGAGTTAAAAATATGATAAATTTGACAAATTATGTTATCACAACTCACAAGTTTTTCACGGTTTAAATCACTTCAAAAATTTGATCTGATGCACCTCGTTTACTCTCAAAAAATTTGTTCCCGCCCACAACAGTTTTCATTTTTTGACACCCAAATTAATGCATCTGGTTTCTAAACTCGTGCCACTATATCTACAAATATAAAAAGTAGAATTATTTTTGAACCAAGACAAAGGCCGACTTAGGTCAATAATGAGTTAAAAATATGATAAATCCAATGGATTATGGTAACTTGAGTTTTTATGGCTCAGAGTTCTTCAAAAATTTGATCCGACGCACGTCGCTTACTCTCAAAAAATTTGTTACCGCCCTGGACAGTTTCCACTTTTTTCCTCCCAAATTAATTCCTCTGATTTCCAAATTGGCGCCACTGTATCTTCAAATCTTCCTAATCTAACGTCTCTTTCTCTCTCCCTCTCCACAAATCTACCAAGCTTCCCTAATTCACACCCCAACTCCCGCCGCCTCCCCCAATCTCTCTTCTCGCTCAGTACGCTGCCCCCCCCCCTCTCTCTGTGTTTTTCTCTCTTCCCACCCTCCTCAATCTTTCCCCGTCTCTCACGCTTCTCGCTATCTTTGTCTCTCAACTGTCAACAGCCCATATGGCTGACGCCCCAGCCACTGTCATCGACCGCCGCCAATGACAGCCAAGCCAGCAAAGCCAGCGACTACCACCACCGCCGACGACTGCCAGCAATTGCCACGCTAGCGACACCCCAGGTAATCCTTCAACCCCATCCCAACGCCAATCACCACCGTCTGCCACCACACGCTCACTAACTGCTCGACAGAATGGCCACAAAAGACAAATCCCCCACCCACCACAAAAGAAACAGTCCTTCCCCTTTCTCAAAGAGCTCGACATCCCTTTCACTCCCTACCTCCATCTCTCTACTCTTCTCTCTAATGCCTTCCACCAACGTCTACCACAGCGCCACCCACCATCGACCAGTCAACCAACCCCCCATCCAATCAAACCCCAAGGACCCCACAACCCAGCACCGTCAGAAACACCCCAGCCCATCAAACCCCAACACTTGTTAGATATTGTTGTGGGTTATGGATTTTGGTGAGCTCATGTTCTCTTCGCAACCCATGGGAAAACAGAGACCTAAACCATTCCCACCAAAAAGAACGAGAATAAAGCCTTTTCTTCTTCTTATTGCTATCCTAGCTACATTGATCTTGCATCTTGAATAGGTGCAAATGGCATGGCCACAGATTCACAGTTTGATATAGACGAAAAAGTTATTGAGACACTTCTCAAGACCCCGTCGTGTCAAATTACTTTCTTGGTTACCTAACAGAAAAAATTATGCAGGCAGTAAATTTTCAATGGTGAGTTTTTTTTTGTTCTCCTGAATTTATTGTTTAATTAGTTTGTTTTCATCTTTCATTATTTTGGGTGTTGCATATTGTTCATGGCAGTTTCTACAGTTGATTCTGGTAGATAGGTTTTAGAATTTGTAGGTGAAGGCTTTTGAATCCTGAATTCCTGGGTTCACTGCTCAGTTTTTAGAATTTTTGGCAGATCAAATCACGGAATGAGTTTGTTTTTCAACCTGTTTTATTACATTGGATGGCCAAAGTATATCTATTGCTTAAGTGAGAATTGGTCACCTGTGCGTGAGTATTATGTTAGCAAGTTGTAACCACTTTTGCATGTTTGAAAAAGAAAGGGAATTGGAATAAAGAATAATGGTAATATTATCCAGATTATTCGGTTCATGGCAGAAGACTTTGGGATCACGGAATGCTCAATTGATTGTTATGGTTTTAGATTTTTAGTTATTAATTAGGGACGGTAGTCGTTGTAGTATAGTGGTAAAAAAGAAAAAAATTAATTATGGACTATTTATGCTTTCCATCCAATCAAACTTTTTTTATTTTTATTTTTATATATCTTTGTGCGATCAGGTACAATCTAAAAGTTTGATTGAAGCCATCCAACCACAAACCCAAATGGATGTATGCATTTATGTTTTGAATACAAGTGAGCGAGCTTTTCTATCCACTACTCTCATCGCCACAATAAAAGGTAAATTGTAGTAAGATTGATTTTTATTAATGCTTTCTCCTTTGGCCTTACACATGATTATTACATGAACTTACTTTTAGGTGGTACAAGTATGCCTCACTTGGGGTTTTATGGTGTTTATCGGATTGCAAATAATGATTTTCAATATTTCATGTAGGGAAGGTGTAATTGGGAGTTGTGAAAGTGGTATAGTTCACTAGTATTTAATAAATTTGAACAATCGGCGGTATGGGTATGGTTTGTTGTATTGCGGTTTTATGTTGATAATTGATTTAGTGAATCACTTCCCGCTATGTTTTCTTTTTATATTGATTAACAAAAATGTGCAATCTGGCTTTGTTCATTTGAGGGTTGATATGATGATCTTCTGCTCAAATGGTTTAACCTTTTGAGCTGAAAACTTTACCTGATAACCTCATATAAGTGAGGCTACGCACATGATCCCCCAGATTTGTGGTGGTGGAAGTATCATGCACTAGGCTTGGTCTTTGTGGGGATGCAACTTGTTGACCAAGTGTGGACAAACTACGTAATGCTTGGTAGCCTTGGTTAAATTTATTTTTTCTTGATGTTTGTCCTTGGGATTATATTTTTGTGAGTTTTAACATCAAACCATGAACTCAGTAAACATGAACCTTATGGAAAATGAGTGCTGTTATATTAAACTTGTTGAAAGTGTAAAGGCCATAGACCAGTTTTCATCTAGAAACATTGCTACCATAAAAGAAGAACAGGAAAAAGAAGGAAAATGATGAAGCTTTTACTGAAAATGTTTGTTTCTTTCTCAATTATGTATGCTTTCAAACATTATATTCTGCTCGTTTTGGTTGATATCTATAAAGTACATAAAGAAGTAAGGGTGCTTTAAGGCTGCGATACAGTTGATTTCTATAAATTACATAAAGAACTGAGGAAGAAGAAGACTACAAGAGGAAGAAGACTAGAAGAAAAAGAAGAAGACTTGTAGAACAAACATAAGAAAAGTACTAGTAGTAGAAGAAGAAAAAGACGGATACTGCAGTAAGAACAAGTTGACTACAAGAATAAGAAGAAGAAGACTATTTGAAGGAGAAGAAGGATATATAAGAAGAAGAAGACTACTAGAAGGAAAAGGCTTGAAGAAGGATACAAGAAGAAGAACAAAAAGGTCACTCGAAGGAGAAGGAGAAGGAGATGAAGACTACAAGGAGAACCAAAAGAAGAAGACTACAACAAGAAGAAAAAGAAGAAGTAGATTAGAGGAAAACTTTGAAGAAGAAAAGGAAAAATAAGACTACTAAGAAGAAGAAGAACAAAAAGATGGCAAGAAGAAGACTATAACAACAAAAAGAAGACGACTACAAGAGAAAGAAGAAGAAGACGACTACAAGAGAAAGAAGAAGAAGACGACTACAACAACAAAAAGAAAAAGAAGAAAATTACAACAAGAACAAAAAGACGACTTCAACAATAACAAGAAAAAGAATAATAAGACGACGACTGCAACAACAATAAGAAGAAGCAGAAGTAGACTAGAAGAAGAAGAAGATGAAAAAGAAGGCTACAAGGAGAAGAAGGAGAAGACTACAACAAGAAAAAGGAAAACTTAAAAGAAAAAGAAGAAGAAGAAGAAGAAAATACAACAATAAGGAGACTACAAGAAGAAGACAACGACCGCAAGAAGAATAAGAACAAGAAAAAGATTACAAGAAGATGACAACTACGACGACTGCAACAAAAAGAAGAATAAGACTACAACAAGAACAAGAAAACTACTAAAAGGAGAAGAAGAGGAAGACTAAGAAAAAAAAGACTACAAAGAAGAAGAATCAGAAGAAGAACTACAACAACAACAATAAGACGATTACAAGGAGAAGAAGACAAAAAAAAGACGACTACAACAAGAAGAAAAAAAGAAGACGATTACAAAAAAAGAAGAAAAAGAAAAAGATGATGAAGAATACAAAAAGAAGAAGACTACTAGAAAAAGAAGAAAAAACTACAAGAAGACTACTAGAAGGAGCAGACAAAGAAGACTACTAATAGAAGAAGTAGAAGAAGAAGACTACTAGAAAGAGGAGGAGAAGAAGAAGAAAACTACTAAAAAGAAGAGAAAAAAGACTACTAAGAAGAAGAAGAAGATGATGAAAAAGAACAAGAAGGCTACAACAAGAAGAAGATTACAAGAATAAGAAAAAAAAAGACTACAACAAAAAAAAGACTAAAAGAATAAGGAGAAGACAAATACTACAAGAAGAACAAGAAGAAGACGAAGAAGAATATTACAAGAAGAATACAATAAGATGAAGAATAAGACTACAAGAGGAGGAAGGAAGGGACTACAAAAAGAAGAATAAGAAGACGATTACAAAAAAAGACAACAACAAGAAGGAGAAGAAGATGAAGATTACAAGGAGAACCAAAAGAAAACTACAAGAAGAAAAAGAAGTAGATTAGAGGAAAACTTTGAAGAAAAAAAAAAGAAAAATAAGACTACTAAGAAAAAGAACAAAAAGACGGCAATAAGAAGACCATCACAATAAAAAGAAGACGACTACAAGAGAAAGAAGAAGAAGACGACTATAACAATAAAAAGAAAAAGAAGAAAATTACAAGAAGAACAAAAAGACGATTTCAACAATAACAAGAAGAAGAATAAGAAGATGATGACTGCAACATCAATAAGAAGAAGTAGAAGAAGAAGATGAAAAAGAAGACTACAAGGAGAAGACTACAACAAGAACAAGGAAAACTTGAAGAAAAAGAAGAAGAAGAAAATACAACAATAAGGAGACTACAAGAAGAAGACGACGACGACCACTACGAATACAACAAAAAGAAGAATAAGACTACTAAAAGAAGAAGAAGAGGAGGAAAACTATGAGAAAAAAAAGACTACAAAGAAGAAGAATAAGAAGAAGAACTACGACAACAACAACAATAAGACGATTACAAGAAGAAGATGACTGCAACAAGAAGAAAAAAAGAAGACAACTACAAAAAATGAAGAAAAAGAAAAAGATGATGAAGAATACAAAAAGAAAAAGGCTATTAGAAGAAGAAGAAAAAACTATAAGAAGATTATTAGATGGAGAAGACGAAGAAGACTATTACAGCAAGAAGACTACTACAAGAAGACTACTAATAGAAGAAGTAGAAGAAGAAGACTATTAGAAAGTGAAGAAGAAGAAGAAGACTACTAAGAAGAAGAGAAAAAAAGACTACTAAGAAGAAGAAGATGATGATGAAAAAGAACAAAAAAGATGATGAAGAATACAAAAAGAAGAAGGCTACTAGAAAAAGAAGAAAAAACTATAAGAAGATTACTAGATGGAGAAGACGAAGAAGACTATTACAAGAAGAAGACTACTAATAGAAGAAGTAAAAGAAGAAGACTACTAGAAAGTGGAGGAGAAGAAGAAGACTACTAAGAAGAAGAAGATGATGATGAAAAAGAACAAAAATACTACAATAACAAGAAGATTACAAAAATAAAAAAAGAAAAAAGACTATAATAAAAAAGACTAAAAGAATAAGGAGAAGAAAAATACTATAAGAACAAAAATAAGACGAAAAAGAACATTATAAGAAAAATACAATAAAATGAAGAATATGCCTACAAGAGGAGGAAGGAGGGGACTACAAAAAGAAGAATAAGAAGATAATTACAAGGAGAAGATAACAAGAAGATGACGACTACAAGAAGGAGAAGAAGAAGATGAAGACTACAAGGAGAACCAAAAGAGGACCACAAGAAGAAGACTACAACAAGAAGAAAAAGAAGAAGTAGATTAGAGGAAAACTTCGAAGAAAAAATAAGACTACTAAGAAGATCAACAAAAAGAAGACCATAACAACAAAAAGAAGACTGTAAGAGAAAGAAAAAGAAGACGACTACAACAACAAAAAGAAAAAGAAGAAAATTACAACAAGAAGAACAAAAAGACGACTTCAATAATAACAAGAAGAAGAATAAGAAGATGATGACTGCAACAACAATAAGAAGAGGTAGAAGAAGATTAGAAGAAGATGAAAAAGAAGACTACAAGGAGAAGAAGACTACAACAAGAACAAGGAAAACTCGAAGAAAGAGAAGAAGAAGAAAATACAACAATAAAGAGACTACAAGAAAAAGCCAACGACTATAAGAAGAAGAATAAGAACAAGAAGAAGATTACAAGAAGGCGACGACTACGACAATACAACAAAAAGAAGATTACTAAAAAAAGAAGAAGAGGAAGTCTATAAGGAAAAAAAGACTACAAAAAAGAAGAACTACAACAACAACTGCAACAACAACAACAATAAGATGATTACAAGAAGAAGACAAAAAGATGACTACAACAAGAAAAAAGAAGAAGACAACTACTAAAAATGAAGAAAAAGAAAAAGATGATGAAGAATATAAAAAGAAGACGACTAGAAAAAGAAGAAAAAAATACAAGAAGACTACTAGAAGACGAAGACGAAAAAGACTACTATAAGAAGGCTACTAATAGAAGAAGTAGAAGAAGAAGACTACTAGAAAGAGGAGGAGAAGAAGACTACTAAGAAGAAGAGAAAAAAGACTACTAAGAAGAAGATGATGAAAAAGAACAAGAATACTACAATAACAAGAAGATTACAAGAATAAAAAAAAGAAAAAGACTACAACAAAAAAAAAGACTAAAAGAATAAGGAGAAGAAAAATACTACAAGAACAAAATGAAGACAAAGAAGAATATTATAAGAAGAATAAAATAAGACTACTAGAGGAGGAAAGAGGGGACTACAAAAAGAAGAATAAGAAGATGATTACAAGGAGAAGATAACAAGAAGATGACGACTACAAGAAGGAGAAGAAGAAGATGAAGACTACAAGGAGAACAAAAAGAAGACCACAAGAAAAACAAGAAGGAGATTAGAGGAAAATTTCGAAGAAAAAAAAGAAAAATAAAACTACTAAGAACAAGAACAAAAAAATGGCAAAAAGAAGACCATAACAACAAAAAAAAGATGACTGCAAGAGAAAGAAGAAGACTACAACAACAAAAAGAAAAAGAAGAAAATTACAACAAGAAGAGCAAAAAGACGACTTCAACAATAACAAGAAGAAGAATAAGAAGACGACGATTGCAACAACAATACGAAGAAGCGGAAGAAGACTAGAAGAAGAAGATGAAAAACACGACTACAAGG